CCACCTTAAGTAATGATAAATGTCGACCTTCAACAACAGCTCCTTCTCATAACAAACAACTAAAGCTGAAAACTTGAGATTGCCTTCAAGTTTCGCTCGCTTCGATTGGATGTGCGAGTCTAGATGTTGTCAAAGCCGTTTTGGTGAAATTATTAAAGGGGATGTAGAATTCCAACTAAACCTACGAGTAATAAATTTGTGACTAGTCGTTCCTCAACACACAAGGAAGAAGAATAGTTACATTGACATTAGGTTTATATCAGGATGTATGTATGAAAAATATAACGAGGTTTCTTCAAGTCTATCCTAAACACGACATTTACTATAAATACTGAGGTTAAGATATATCCTACTAACTAGATTAGCATGAGATTAATGAATAAAGATTCAAAAATCTTAAGATTACCTATCTACTAACAGTGCGCTTGGTGCAAGTTTGCGTCGCTGTCGTTTTGGATCAACGATGAAACAAGCCGGCACACTGAAAGTGCCTAAAGTGCTTATAGTCAATGTCTATAATTAAAGGAATATTGCGACAGAATGTGAAGTTTAACGAGTGCCAATCAATTATATACGGTACATAATTGATGAAAGGCCTTATACACGATTCTTCTTAGTCACTATAACTGGGAACGCATAAACTGGCAACCGACCAGTAACGTAAGTTATTGTGAGCTAAGAGTTAAACGTGCATTAGTCTCGTTAAACCGGTGAAGATGATATCAATGAAAGTGATAAATGGAGTAAAATGCTTGAACCAGCGAGGGAGACAACCTAATGAATTGAAACAATTTGTAACTAATGGATAACTTGAAGAAGCAAGAAAACCAAAATGAGGGGACTGGCTGTCCTTCTTTTGTTACGTTTGTAACACGAGTGGGGTGAAGGATGGTGGTACTACCCCAGGCGAGACGAGCGTCTCTACCACCTTAAGTAATGATAAATGTCGACCTTCAACAACAGCTCCTTCTCATAACAAACAACTAAAGCTGAAAACTTGAGATTGCCTTCAAGTTTCGCTCGCTTCGATTGGATGTGCGAGTCTAGATGTTGTCAAAGCCGTTTTGGTGAAATTATTAAAGGGGATGTAGAATTCCAACTAAACCTACGAGTAATAAATTTGTGACTAGTCGTTCCTCAACACACAAGGAAGAAGAATAGTTACATTGACATTAGGTTTATATCAGGATGTATGTATGAAAAATATAACGAGGTTTCTTCAAGTCTATCCTAAACACGACATTTACTATAAATACTGAGGTTAAGATATATCCTACTAACTAGATTAGCATGAGATTAATGAATAAAGATTCAAAAATCTTAAGATTACCTATCTACTAACAGTGCGCTTGGTGCAAGTTTGCGTCGCTGTCGTTTTGGATCAACGATGAAACAAGCCGGCACACTGAAAGTGCCTAAAGTGCTTATAGTCAATGTCTATAATTAAAGGAATATTGCGACAGAATGTGAAGTTTAACGAGTGCCAATCAATTATATACGGTACATAATTGATGAAAGGCCTTATACACGATTCTTCTTAGTCACTATAACTGGGAACGCATAAACTGGCAACCGACCAGTAACGTAAGTTATTGTGAGCTAAGAGTTAAACGTGCATTAGTCTCGTTAAACCGGTGAAGATGATATCAATGAAAGTGATAAATGGAGTAAAATGCTTGAACCAGCGAGGGAGACAACCTAATGAATTGAAACAATTTGTAACCAGTGGATGTTACTTGGAAGCGAGAACAACAAAATTAGAGAAAAATATATAGAGGTTTTTTCAAGTCTATTCTAAACACGACATTTACTATAAATACTGCGGTTAAGATATAGCCTACTAACTAGATTAGCATGAGATTAATGAATAAAGATTCAAAAATCTTAAGATTACCTATCTACTAACAGTGCGCTTGGTGCAAGTTTGCGTCGCTGTCGTTTTGGATCAACGATGAAACAAGCCGGCACACTGAAAGTGCCTAAAGTGCTTATAGTCAATGTCTATAATTAAAGGAATATTGCGACAGAATGTGAAGTTTAACGAGTGCCAATCAATTATATACGGTACATAATTGATGAAAGGCCTTATACACGATTCTTCTTAGTCACTATAACTGGGAACGCATAAACTGGCAACCGACCAGTAACGTAAGTTATTGTGAGCTAAGAGTTAAACGTGCATTAGTCTCGTTAAACCGGTGAAGATGATATCAATGAAAGTGATAAATGGAGTAAAATGCTTGAACCAGCGAGGGAGACAACCTAATGAATTGAAACAATTTGTAACTAATGGATAACTTGAAGAAGCAAGAAAACCAAAATGAGGGGACTGGCTGTCCTTCTTTTGTTACGTTTGTAACACGAGTGGGGTGAAGGATGGTGGTACTACCCCAGGCGAGACGAGCGTCTCTACCACCTTAAGTAATGATAAATGTCGACCTTCAACAACAGCTCCTTCTCATAACAAACAACTAAAGCTGAAAACTTGAGATTGCCTTCAAGTTTCGCTCGCTTCGATTGGATGTGCGAGTCTAGATGTTGTCAAAGCCGTTTTGGTGAAATTATTAAAGGGGATGTAGAATTCCAACTAAACCTACGAGTAATAAATTTGTGACTAGTCGTTCCTCAACACACAAGGAAGAAGAATAGTTACATTGACATTAGGTTTATATCAGGATGTATGTATGAAAAATATAACGAGGTTTCTTCAAGTCTATCCTAAACACGACATTTACTATAAATACTGAGGTTAAGATATATCCTACTAACTAGATTAGCATGAGATTAATGAATAAAGATTCAAAAATCTTAAGATTACCTATCTACTAACAGTGCGCTTGGTGCAAGTTTGCGTCGCTGTCGTTTTGGATCAACGATGAAACAAGCCGGCACACTGAAAGTGCCTAAAGTGCTTATAGTCAATGTCTATAATTAAAGGAATATTGCGACAGAATGTGAAGTTTAACGAGTGCCAATCAATTATATACGGTACATAATTGATGAAAGGCCTTATACACGATTCTTCTTAGTCACTATAACTGGGAACGCATAAACTGGCAACCGACCAGTAACGTAAGTTATTGTGAGCTAAGAGTTAAACGTGCATTAGTCTCGTTAAACCGGTGAAGATGATATCAATGAAAGTGATAAATGGAGTAAAATGCTTGAACCAGCGAGGGAGACAACCTAATGAATTGAAACAATTTGTAACTAATGGATAACTTGAAGAAGCAAGAAAACCAAAATGAGGGGACTGGCTGTCCTTCTTTTGTTACGTTTGTAACACGAGTGGGGTGAAGGATGGTGGTACTACCCCAGGCGAGACGAGCGTCTCTACCACCTTAAGTAATGAACTTCAAACAAAACTCGCACTCATTTTTTAATGTTTCTAGGGTTTGTAGTTGAAAGAACTGTTGTTGAAATTGAAACCTTGTTTTTTTGAGTTGTTACTTTGTTTTTAATAACTATTATAATTTTTTTGTTTATATTTACTCTTGAATAAGAACGACTTTTTGGGTGTCGTTTCTTGCTCATATATACAGTATTAAAAATTTATAGCTATGTTATGTACAGCGGAAAAGTAGAAACATAAAATTTTTATCTTATTGTCTATGGAGTTTTTTTTTATAAAGAGCTTTAAAATAAGAGCAGGTAGATTTTGGCGCAAAATGGCGGTTATATAGTCTTGATGATATTTGTAAATTCTTTTGTTTATTCAATTACTTATGCCATATCACCATGGCTGGTTACACGATGTAACAGCGCGTACAAATTATAAAACTTTAGTATCAAAATGAATGTTTGTTAGTGCAAACGTTTTAGCATTGCGTCCTTTTTATTGTATGTATATATAGTAGCCGTTCATAGTTGAGTCTTGATGGTTTGTGGTCAATTTTGAAACTACGGGTTAATTAGGTACATTAGGGTTACATCCGTACAAGATTCAGATGTTCCAAGACCTCAAAGTTCAAGACCACAAAACGTCGTTGGTTCGCTGACTGGGCTTCAAATCGTGTGGAAGTGGATGTAGATTTTGGCTGCAAATGATGTTTAGTGACGAGGCGCATTGTTAATAAACAGAATCGCCGTAAGTGGGAGGAAACGAACAAACACGAGATTCGCCAGGTGATAATGCAGCCTCATAAAGTTACTGTTTGGTGCGGATTATGGGCTGGTGGCGTTATTGTTCTGTATTTTTTCGAAAACGACGTTGGTTTAGCGGTCACCGACAATTAAGAGTTCTGCAGAATGATGATAGAGAATTTCTTATGGCCCAAGTTAAATCATATGGCCATGTGGTTCTAGCAGGACAGCGCCACGTGCCACATAGCGGACGCCACGATTGACATTCGGCATGAGCGATTTGAAACTAAGGATATCTCTCGCAGGGGTGATTTGAATTCTCCATTGAGGTCATGCGATTTAACACCGCTAGACTTTTTTTCGGGGGGCCTTTTGAAAGTTGGAGGTTTATTCAAATAAATCACAATCACAAAAGGGGACATAACACAAGCCGTCGCTCAAGTTCAGCCTTGGGCTAAAATTGGGCCCCTCGGATGTCGTGCCACTGTGAGAAATCGAGGCGGGCATTTGAATGATGTCATCTTCCATACTTAGTTTCATATGGACCTTTTAAATAAAAAATAATAATCTTAAAACTTTACACACCGCTTTTCTAAATTTATTCCAAAATCTAGCCGTCCTTATTGAGAAACCCAACATTTATTTCAAGGATCATTAAATTATTGAATGATATTCGTGACATAAAGTTATACCAATGTTGAAATGTCACCTCATACCATGAAGATGTAATACGAGTAGATGACAAATATTATTGAATATACATATATCGTTCTTACAAAACTATAACGATTTCCTACTACGTAGGCTCAGTTTTATTCTAGTTTTAAATAAATAGTCTTACCTCAAGAACTTACTTAAGAAAATATAGTACACAATTGAAGATATTGATAAATATATTAGATGATATATGGTACGACTTAAGGAGAGTAAGTTGTGTCCAGTTCTTTGTAAGAAAAGGAATCTTCTGATAAAACATAGTCTTCGCCGTCTTCATTCTGAAACGAAAGATTATAATTAGGCTCTACTTTATAATACGTCAAGTACTTCGTCTTTATTAAAGTTACTTTGAACTAATGTTTTATTTATGTTTTTAATTAATAAGTATAATTATAATTTTATTACCGATGACACGTCGAATAGATAATATTGTTGATTTGGAGGGCGAGGTGCTGGGAGCCTCGGCCTGTTATTAAGTCCCTTAAAAGATATAATAATATAGTAAATTGTCAACACATGAATCAGCAGCATTAATATATCGTAAACCATGTACCATGTTATTGAGGTCTCTAGATAGTTCGCATTCAATGTCGTCGTAACCATCAAAAGAAAATTCTCGACCAATTTCAAACGCTTCTGGCGGAGCTGGTGACCCTACAAGTGATTTTAATAACAGTGAAAATAGTTCAATAAAAATCTTTAAACTCATTTGAAATATAGACGACCCAAAAAGATAATTAAGTAGTGTGAAGTCGAATATAAATAAAATCCTTTTTTAATTTAAACCATGGTTAGATTCTAAAATGTCGGATCTGAGAGTAAGTTTCAAAATGGCGTCAGTTGCAACGCTTGGGGATGCGCGTTGCAATAAATCAATATCGCGTTACGTACAGTCAGGTTCGGGTGCGGATACTGGCTGGTTTTGACGCATGCTCAGTTTATGCATCGCCTCCATCTCCCACTCCCCTGAAATGCTCATCGATTAATCAAAGTCTCTTTGTCCAGCCATTACGTAATTAAATACATACTCAAGTAGTATTCACTAAAGCTAGTCGAATCGTTGCCTTTGCGCTGCTCCAAGAAATAACCTTGGCTCATGTTATCGGACATGTGCGATGCCTGTTAATGAAATTATTCATTATTTAGCTGTTGTATGGCTTATATAATTTTCTGTTATTTGATTGTTTACCAGGACGCCGTCGTCTTGATTGCGTTCAGATTGAAGACGATCCGTGTTACGATTCTCATAATTATCGTCGACCGCCCACAACAACTCCGTCCCATCTCTATTATCGGACATTGTGAAGTTAGAATATTCAGACAGGGTCTTTTTCGCTATGTTCTCCGTGTATACGGTCATACTTCCCCGCCTTCAAATCTGAAGCGTCATAAGTTGTAAAGTTGGGCGTGCTTTGTTGTCAAACCGACGATGCCGACTTCATTTTAATTATAAATTTATACGGATTAATCATGAAACTTGCTGAGACACAACTTTTGACATAATGTATGACAGAAAAGTATTAAAAATCGCTAATTATTTTACATAATAATATTAAGTTGGACGTCGCAATAGCTTTTTACAGCATTATAATTATATACAAAACATTAAAAAATCAAAGATTTATTTTAAACAAGTAAATAAAAGTAAATACTTACATATTCCTTATTAATGCTTCTCACAAAGACTCAATTAATATAAACTATTTGAATTACAAAGCACTGCTCTGACCGCGAGCTGAATGTAGAATGCCTAGATTTAGCTCGAATACTAGACTCAGGATTTGTGCGCATGCCTGTAGAAGATTCTGGAAGCTTTCTAGTTAAGGCCCTGGTCGATAGAGCATAGCTCTCCCCAGGAATTACCCTATGCACCTACGTAGTATAAAATGCACCGCTTTGAAATATTTTCACTTGCTTTAAAAAAATGTAATAAAATGTAAAGGAAATTCAAAAAGACTACGTTTGTATTCAAGATCTTAAAGCTTATTTCGGTATTAAATCAAAAGAATTTTAATGATAGAACCGATATTATTAAAAATATAATAAAAAAATATAATAAGAAATTACTGTTGAAGGAACTCAATATATCTTATTGATTATTGCTATTTGAAATATAGGTTGAGCAAAAATAGATAAGATATTGTTTAAACATTGTATTTAAAGCCAGGAAACAGTGGTATTCATTCTCTGAAACATAAACAAAGACGCCATTCACGTTTAAATGTCCAACTTGTTGCTTAAAAACGATTTCGAGATTCACATGATTACATTCCATAGTGGGATTTAAATTAAATCTATAAATAGTACGTTTATTATATGAATACATTTTTTTATTCTAATTTTATTTCTTTTTCCAGAAACCGCGTTGAATACATCGCTATCACAGCTATACTTATGGTTGTTGCATCAACTTTATTCTACAGAATTTATACCTCAAATTCAAGCTCGCCGGTCGTAGTATCACCAACCAAAGCAATGAAGAGCAAGAAAAATAAATAATTTATATATATTTTTTTAATATATTAATAAGTTGGGGAAAAGTTTCTTCGCATTTTTTAAGAAAATTCAAAACATTTTTTTATATAGTTTATTTAAATTTAACTAAAGTATGTATGTACCGTTTTGTTCAAGGAATATGGTAGAGCAAACCTTTTTTCCTCCAGTGCTTTTTCTATAAAGTTGTACCTGATTAATTGTTGAATGCTTTTCTCTAAAACCAAATTGACGGTCAGGAATAAGGTTACTTTTTTCAATAACTGGTTTTAGTCTTTTTAACAATAGTTTCTCGAATACTTTGGATATAACTGGTAGTAGCGAAATTGGTCTATATGAAGCTGGTTCATGTGGTAGTTTTCCAGGTTTTGGTATCATAATTATTTCAGCTACGTTCCATAAGTCGGGTATATACTTTAATAAATTGAGCAATAATTAATGACTATTATGTTTATTTAGTCTTAATTAGTACAATGGATATAGGAGTCTCATATCGTCTTTGCTATCTTGGAATGTGATAGATCCTAGCTGTGGTTAAGTTACTACAGCTCGAACATGGGCTGGTTCGACCGGGGAAGTACCACCCTCTCATAGAAGATCGGCGTAAAGTAGTCTTTTACGGCTGGGTTTTGTCTTATGAGTGAGAGAGACGGTTGCCTATTCCTTTTCCCATCCTTTTCTCTACTTTAATCGAAAAGAAGCATTTTTAAAGTTGTCAGTTTAATAATCACTTTACGATTAAAGTTTTTCAAAATTTCACCGGTTATAAGGTCGTAGCCAGGTGAATTTTTTGAGTTGATATGGTTCTTAATCATATTTGAAACTTCTTTTGGTGTGACGAGCTTTATTTCTAAAAATTTGTCATATTTTGGCGTTTAATCAGTATGTCGGATCGCCGAGTCCATTAGGGTCTTCACAAAACACTTCACAAACACTTTAAAGTCACTTCACTTCACTTGTTGCTTTTTGATTAAAACATGAAATCGAGCCACGTGGATTTCCGAGGGTGCGTCCAACACAACGTCCAAATGAGCATTGCTCTTGCAATGTGACCGCTGCAGATTCATAAATCTTTGTCCATGTTGCCTTAGAAAACTTACATATTCTTCTTTTGAGATACTGTATCTCGGTGGAGAATATATAGCCGCTATTGTTAGAGGGTAATGTTTACACTCTAGTCGTATTGCCACTGCTTGTATTTCTGGTTGTTCTTACTTGATTTCTTCATAGTGTTGAAGATTTTTTTTTACTATTATTGCACTGCTTCCATGTGCACTGTTTCCTGGGTGTAGTGGATGATAAACTTTATATCCTTGAAACTTAGCATAACATTGTTTAGTGAAGTGAGTTTCTGATACAAGACATATATGCAGTTTTTGCAGTCTCGAGTGAGGTGTTTTCCTGTACACTTGACGCATCGTGGTTCCTTGGAACAATATTTATGTCTGTGGCCATATGCTTGACACCTTTTGCACTGTGGTACTAATTTTGATGTTTTGATTGGCTGCACTTAGACTTTACATCCTAAGATAGCCTCTACGCTATATATTTTGCTAATGTCCTCATCGTTTGAAAAGGTTAACATGAACATATTGAGAGGCTCTTTGTTCTTCCAGCCGAGTTTGTTTGCTGCGCTTATTATTATTACGGACTTGTTTTGTGGATATTCTACAATTCTCTCGGGTTTGCATGTATAGTGCCGATTTTTGACCATGACTCTAATAGGTCTTTCCTGCTTGTTTTCGTATGAGTGCCATTGATGGCCACTCGTGGATAATATGTTTCTGATTACGTTGTAAGACTCCTCGTTCTTGGCATTAATTTTGACACATTTACCATTCAAGATTTTAGTAGTAACTGCGTGTCCTTGGGATCAAGGCTTGGTAGTTTTCTATACCGTCTACGATTGTAGGTGGATTGTAGGGGGTCCCACCTTCTTTATTTTGGAGTTTTTAGTAACCAAATCAGTCTTTTTTGGTTCTTACGTTTGTGGAGGCGACGAGCTCAGTTTCCTTTTCTTTCTCGATTTGACCCGTATCCACTCGGTTTCCTTGGACAGATCTTCTTCATCTGTAAGTTTAAAGGTGATAGAGCCTAGCTGTGGTCAAGTTACTACAGTTCGAATATGGGCTGGCTCAACCGGGGAAGTACCACCCTCTCACAGAAGATCGGCGTGAAGTAGTCAGTAATGACTGCGTTTCGTCCGATGAGTGAGAGAGCCGGTTGCCCTTTCCCTTTTCCCAACCTTGCCTTTTTTCCTTATTCCCACCCTTCCTTATCATTAAAAAAATAAGGTTGGCAACGCCTCCGCAACAAAGATGTTGCATATGTCCATGGGCGACGGTAACCACCTTCCATCAAGTGGGCCGTCTGCCGTTTGCCACCACTAACATAAAAAAAAAAACAGTACTCCAAGCATTTGGTGGAACTGTCTGTAGGGGTGGCTTTTGTTTTATTACCCACATCTTGGTTATCACGTTTGAGGTCATGAATTTGACTTTTCAGGTCATCGATTTGAGTCTGCATGTTTTCTATAATCTTGTAAAGCTTGTCGCAGTCTTCTTTTGTTTCATTGTACGCTTTAAACAGTAAATGTTCATTTTGTGTTTGAAGCTTAATAGAAGTTGTTGCCATATTTCAAATTAATGAAGAGCTTCCGCCTTAAATTTATTATTTACAATACTTTGAAAATTGATGAGTCCGTCATCGCAACGGTCGTTCAACCGACGGCAACGTACGACGTTCTGCAACGTTTGCACTTTGCATTATTATTTGGACATACTCGGAACGCGACTGATTTGAATGGTAGACGAAACTAAACTGAACTTAACTTTTAACAAAACCAGCCAGATACAAATACTACAGCCAAAGAGATTTTATTACAAGTTCATACATACTCGTACTATAATGCGAATTGACTTTTTCACCCATCATATGAACGTTGGCAAAAAAATAATAATTCAATCAATACTGCTTCTTTTGTTTAAATCAGAAATACTTTTAATATGAAACTAATAAAATGTTAATACTAATATGGAGTTTATAATATAATATAATTATAAACATTAACCTAAATTATAATAATAGTAGGGATGATAAGAATATAAAAATTATAGTTAGAGGCACCGAATATATCGATCTCAAAATATATTCTCTCTATTTCTTAATAGAATTAGTTTCTAGAAAAGTTATATTTAAACTAGAAATAATTAGACGAAAAGGCATCATCCAGATCTAATTAAATCGTTGTTCTCGTATAGCTTTGTCGATAAAAAACCTCGTGGGAGTAGTTTTTAAAAAGGGCCTAATACTGAGTGACTAGTGCATTTATTTTAAATAATACACTGCGTGCAAAAGTATTAGGCACCCCTATTGTTAGTCACTATCTCATTATATTGCGGTCAAGTCTGTGTTTTATGGTTTAGCTATTGTATTAGCGGCAATTTTTAACCAAATTAAGATAAAAGAAAATATTTATGACATCCAGGTGTGCTCCTAAGCGGTGTTTCTTCGAATTTGCTTTTTTTGCGTTTCGGGTTATAGTGTGTTATCAGTGCTTGCAGTGAACATACACGTCTTCTACGCAACTATTCCTATCACAATTCTAAAGACTAACATTTAACGTGTTAATCATGCCGAAAAAATCTGAACTTAGTGCTGAACAGCGTCTAAGAATTAAGATTTTACATGAACAAGGCATGTCTCAGGTTAAAATAGCCCGAGAAGTGAAGTGCTCGCGATGTGCAGTTCAATATGCTATAAATCGCTTCAAAGAGACTGGCACCCATGAAAATAGACCAAGAACAGGCAGAAGAAAAGTTACTACTGAACGGGAAGATCGATTGTTGATTAGGCAGTCTCTACAAAACAGGAAAAAAACTGCTTTAGAGCTCGCTGCAGCATTATCTGAGGCAAAAGGCAGCTCAGTGAGTGTTTATACTGTGAGAAGAAGACTTCTTAAAGCTGGATTAAAAGGATGTAAAGCAAGGAAGAAGCCGTGGCTGTCAGAACACAATAAGAAAAATCGGTTGGAGTGGGCACTCAAACATAGAGATTGGTCAGTGGAAGATTGGTCCAACATACTGTGGTCAGACGAATCTAACTTTGAGGTATTGTTATTTATTTTATGTACAATATTAAAACACATAAATGTTTTTAAAATAACGTACTGCATGAAAAATAATAACTTTGAAAATAAATGTGTTTTTTTCGTTTGGCATAGGTGTTTGGAACACCCGGTGTGACTTATGTTAGGCGAAGGGTTGGCGAAGAATACAACCCAGAATGTGTGGTTCCCACTGTTAAGCATGGTGGAGGCTCAATAATGATCTGGGGCTGCATGGCTGCCGACGGAGTGGGCGAAATGGTGTTGTGTGAGGGACGAATAAATAGTGTTAAATACACTGAAGTTCTGGAAACAGCACTAGCAACGTCGATAACGCAAATTTTCGGTGATTCAAACACCGATGGCCTGAAATTTCAGCAAGACAACGCCACTTGCCACAAGTCCGCGCATACCATGAAGTGGTTTGCTGAAAATCATATTGATCTTTTGGACTGGCCACCACAATCACCAGACCTCAACCCGATTGAGCATATTTGGTCCATTTTAAAGAAAAATATCCGCAGGCACTCGATTAGCAATAAACAAGCTCTATTGGCCGCGTTACAGCAGGAATGGAAAAATATATCAAGAGAAGAATGTTTCAGGCTGGTAGAGTCAATGCCAAAAAGAGTGGCTGCGGTTATTAAGTCAAAAGGTAGACCTACAAAATATTAATTATTTTCTTAAAATAAACCATTGTAATCATAAATGCAGTTTTATTTACACTCGCTATGCTAAAACACCCTAAAACTTCTCTTACTGTAGGGTGCCTAATACTTTTGCCCGTGGCATACATAACTTTTTAACCGACTTCACGTGGAACACGTAGAGGATTTACTTCAAAAAGTAATGTAATTTTTTTTATATATTAGAAGCCATATTAAATAGAATTTTATTTTTTTTACATAACCAGTAAACAGTGAAACTAATTTGTAATTACGAATACAAATAAAAGTCGCAGTCTTCAAAGACAAACTTTTTAAATTATTTTTTTTTCTATATAGGAATGTCAATATAAACGTCAGATGGAGAAATAAATTGACAATTTGGAGTAATATATCACGTTTAATGATATGTTCGTTTTAACATGCAATCACAATTAAATTCGTAACTAAATTCTAATTTCATTAGATTACAACTTCCTTACTACGGAGACTCACATTCGACTACAGTGAATTTATACTAACAGTTATATGGTGAGCTGATTTATCTTTACTTACAAAGAAAACGTCAATTGTCAGATCGAAAAATATGTATAAGATTGCCATATATTGAGTTCAATTCATTATATTTTATAACATAAAAGTTGCCAATTTAAGAACTTCGATATTAATATATTTAGGTGTCAATAAGTAGGTGTTAATTTAGTCACTGAATGTTTTTTTTAAATTTAAACACAGTTTTATGTAATAACAATATAATTTTAATATTACTCAGTTATACAAAAAGCGGTAACTTGTAACAAGTGTGTTCCTGACGAATGCAAATAAACAGTGTACTTTGAACATCAACATTGGATACAAATACTATTAGCTATTCATGTTGTAAGATTTTTTATTATATAACTTATTTTTTGTATGCGAGTTTGAAATGTATAGACAGGTTATAAAAATACTAAAGTGTTAAAAAAACAATAAAATGTTAAAAAAAGAAATAAATCAGCTCTGCTCGTTACGTTTCCAATAATAGATCTGTTGAAAAACAGATTTTAACAAATATATATTTCATTGAACAGTGATTGAAAGTCGATACTCATAATTTGTGCATTACAAAGAGGTGCGTCAACGCACTTTCTAAATCTAAGACAATGTAGTTTAAAGAGCCTCAATAAGTCTATCCCATGTTCAATAAAGACAAGCAAATATTCATCAAACCTCGTTGGCTAATAATCTCAACATTTCTAACACGCAAATTGTATGTTAGGAGTTAAATTAATATATATAGCTTCCATATTTATAAAAAATGTTATTTAAAATAACTTCTGTTTACCAATTCAAAGGAAATGTTATTAATAATGAACACTATAATGTATTATTTTGAAAGTCTGTAACTGGAATGGAAATAATATTATATAAATAAAAAATTTACCAACCCGTTAAATTACTTCAAACTTAAAATACGTTGAAGATCATTTTGAGATAACAAACAAAAAAAAATCACATAAATACGCTTACTTTCCTACAATAACGTCGATTAAATACGTTTCTAACAAATACTTATTACAACAGTTGTGCAATATAACTTTTTGGCTATTAAACCAGTATAGAATGGCTTACGCAAACAATGCAGTATCTAATATCATTAAAAAGTATACGGACTCGGTCCAAAACATCCAGAACATAAAATAGGAACGTAAATTGTCAAAAGATGTCCAAAAACATCTAGGGTCTGCTTTTAAAGAGCTCGTCAACGACGGACGGGTCAGCTAGAGTGGACGTGTCGCCGATGTCGGTGTCACCCAGCGCTATCTTCCTCAAAATTCTCCTCATGATCTTCCCGGACCTGGTTTTCGGCAGACCGGGAGCGTATTGAATGACATCCGGAGCAGCGAACGCCCCAATCCTATTCCTCACGCGTTTCTTCAGAGCGTCGATCAATTCGGGACCAAACTGAACGCCCTCGTTGAGGATGACGAAGCAGTACAGAGATTCTCCTTTGACGGGATGTGGCTTGGAGACAACAGCAGCTTCGGACACGGAGTGCTCTTCAGTGAGGACACCTTCTACTTCGGAGGTAGACAACAGATGACCGGACACATTCAACATGTCGTCGATACGTCCCGTCACCCAGAGGAATCCATTCTCGTCACGTCTGGCGCCTGTGTTGATAATAAATAACTGACTATCATTGTGGTGTAACGTAAAAAATATTTTATAAACTAGCAAGAAAATAAATGAAAGTTCTTTTATTTGGGTTACTACGCGTATTTTGTTATTTTATTTTAAAGCAAGCGTGATCTCAGGCAGACAAGATGTGAAACTCACAAAAACTTTTGCTTAATAGTAACTGAAACGTCAGGAGTATGTAGTTTCAAAATAATAAAATACGCGTAGTATATTAGTTAATATTAGTTTAATTTAAATTAATACTCCCAAAAGTTATAGATCTCATTAGCAACAAAATATACAATATATACATACCATCGCCTGTGCAGTAATATCCTTTGAATTTAGAGAAGTAGACCTTTTGGTAACGAGCGTGGTCACCGAAGAGGGTTCTCATGATGCCTGGCCATGGTCGGGAGAAGACCAGGTAGCCCTCGCCGGGACCTTCGATCACTTTGCCGCTCTCATCAAGCAGTGTCGGTTCCACGCCGAAGAATGGAAACCCCTATTAACGATAGTTCACGGTAAAAGAAACGTTTATTAAAAATGGTACAGCGGCTGTCTAAAGCGAGGTATATAAACGGTTTTTCCTTTTTATTTACTTAAAAAAAAAGAAAAAAAACAAACAAAGTGAGGAGAGAACTCAACAAAAGGCCTGACAATGTTTTATGTAGGAAATCTTTATATATATAATTCTTCTTTGAGTGTGTATGTCACTGAACTTCTCTCAAACTACTGGACCGATTTTGATGAATTTTTTTGTGTGTGTTCAAGGGGATCTGGGAGTTGTTTACATTCACAATTTTGTCCGCTGGATAATGTTTTTTTAATTAATTTTTAATTTATTAGTAGTTGTTGATACAAACGTTTTTTTTACATTAGATTTGACAACTAAATAATGTCAATCATTCTGTCGCCCTTCGAAACACGGAGATTTATGGCTTTAATAGGTAAAGTCCAAAAATAGAAATAAAAAAACGTAACAGATATTTCTTGATTATAGGGAGATACGAAGTTCGCCGGGTCTTCTAGAATTTATATAAAAATCTTACGGCAGCTCCAGGCTTCATAGGGGAGGCCCCTGGCAGGCCGGTAAGTACGTGGCCACCGGTTTCAGTCTGCCAGAAAGTATCCACGATCGAGCAACGTTTATTACCAACCAGGTTGTAGAACCACAACCAAGCTTCCGGGTTGATAGGCTCTCCAACGCTCCCCAACACTCGCAAAGTCTTCAAATTGTGCCTAAAATTTATGGGAATGTTTAATATAATAGAAAAGGAAATAAAAACAAAACAACAAAGGAATATAGGATTGAGAACTGTGAAGAACATAACTAATATAAAATATTTATATAAATACATTTGTAAACATAAAATATTTATAATCGAATGAAACGTGGGAATTGGTTGATTCACTAAATACTTAATTAAGATCTCATTGATATGAAAATGGGTTATTATAACTTTGTTGATCGTATATATGAAAATGAAACACGGTCCTCTTTATAATAGGGATATTTTTTAGTTATGACGAATGTACAGTTTATTCATGGTATCCATTTAATTATAGTAGAAACCTAGTTATAAATTGTATGTTTCAAAAATAGCGTGGTTACTTAGCTTTAACGAAATTGAAAAAAAAATCTTATTCTATTGATACAATTGTCTTTAATTCAATTGTTAAAGTAACGAATAAATAATAAGGACCCATTGATACTTAGTAGGGTTATGATGTCATTAATAACAACTAGAATATTAAATCACAATTACTTATTATGCAAAAAATAGAAAGAACAATGAAAGGATAAACAATACTTCAGAAATAAAACGTAAATCTGAGAGAATTGTATTCATTTCTAACTTGGAATAAAAGAAACTATTGTTTTTTTTATCTTTTCATATATTGTTATATATAAACCTAAGTATTTATGTTTGATTTTTAGTCGTTTTTCTTAGCAAATCCATTAGGCTGGGATCCTTACGTACTTTCTACATACAATCAAACTTAGCAATAGAAGTAACTTTTGAAATTAATGAAGATGACAAAAACGCTTATTAAAATTTATATTAAAGTGTCGAAACCGTACGAAAATTTATTAACAATTATCGTGTAGTCTCACAGTCTACCTCAAACGTATTAATAATAATTAGTTCAAATTGTTTATATAACCTGTTAGATAAGTTACTTCGGCGGCAACCGACCTCTGTTACATGCTCAAGGGCAAGCATGTAAACAATGTCATTAATACAGTACATACTCGTTAACTGACTCTTAGCATTGGACAATCCAATATAGAATTTATATTTCCCACTCGGTCATTACTATGCGCACATTATATGATAGCAATTCATGACGTCATAATGTTATTTTCATCGTACACTTACATAATAGTGAAAGTTATATGTGAAATTACTGTAAAAAAAGATCCGAAAACTAATTCGCTAGTTTCATAAAGATTTCATTGTGTGAGTGAGTGCAAATAATATTTATTATAGCCGTACTCGTATAAGCCTGTTACGTCAAGTAACTACATATGAAAGTCAAACTCAGCCTCGATTAGATCTTGTAACAGTTCCGGTGCGACTTCCGAATGCTATTTTAAGATATGACATTACTTTTAATAATACTAATTGTTATTTATATTTTATAATGCTATTAACGTACTTCAAACGAGTTACCTGGACTCGCTATCTCGAGTATTTCCTGGAAATGCTATACTTATTATTACCATATAATCCTTTGGTAAATGCACATGATTAATAATGGACATACACTTATGTATAAATTCTTATGACATGATTTAGGATCTAATAGTTATTTTCATTTGTAATTTTAAGTAATCCATCGATGTTAATTACGATAAGAAATCATGTTTTAACCGAAAATATTGAAAGTAAATTTAGAGTAACAAAAGACAATTCATATAAAGTTGTGGTTGATTTTGGTTATATCTAAATGACGATAATGTCTCTCATAAAGATAATAAATGAGACGAAATGAATAGAGCCATATACAAGTTAGTACCGAAGATGGGAGATTCTTATCAGTTGTATGAGTGAGTTCTGTTTCCTCGTTTTGTGTCAGCTGTGTGCACTCAAATATATAGATAAATTTTAATACATATACATGCATGTTGTTATTTATATAAAACGGAAAATAATTTAAATACATTTCGATGTGGAACACCTTATTGTTGATGCGCATTTATTAACAATGAGTAGGTACCTAAATAAAGATGTTGATGTATTTCAACATTAAATAAATATTTGTATAAAATACATATGTATATGTATGTATATACATGGAATAATACGTTATGTAAACTTTTAGTGGTAAAGATTGTTATATTTTACTAAATTAAACTAAATATCTAACTACACAGAACAGTATTTCAGTTATTCTTAAAGATTCCAATGATAACTTTTTGTTATTACGACAAAAATCACAAAATGTTGTAAAACAAATAAATCAGTAAAAAGTAGTCCATAAATAAATAATAACATAATTTTTATACTCAGAATAATTAACGAATTATTATAAATTTCCTTTCGAGTGTGTTACAAGTATTAGCTTACACGATTTTAATAATTTTATGAATTCATCGACAATTTATTATGACGTTTTTTGCCAAATTTACATTCATGATTGAATAAAGAAGTAGACATTAATGATCCAACGACTGTGATAATATAACCTAATACATATTATTAAAAAGTATCCAGTAGTAGTAGTTAGTAAAAGCAGATATTTTAAATCAATAAAGAAAACATGGATAAACAGTTTATGTAAACGTAAAATTGATTCGGTACATGAAAAACTAAATGAAATACAATTTTTACTTACTTGGTGACGAGCTCGTCCCCAAATTTCATCAGAGCTCTAATGGCAGTTGGTGCTGTGTAGAACTGAGTAACCTTGTACTTCTCAACCAACGACCAGTAGCGGTCGTTATCAGGATAGAATGGTGTACCTTCGAACTGAAATTGAAGGTTTACTTATATTAATTTCATTCATAATACGAAGCAATGTGTTTTATAAAAGTAGTCGTTTGAAAAGAGGTATAGAGTCGAGAGCATTATAAATAATAGGGACCTTGACAAAATGTTTACGCTTCATACAATTTCAATGATTATGGTTAAGTAATACCGTCGTTAGCATACGGAGACTGATGATGATTATCTTATATTTATTTAAAATATGAATCCCTCACGAGTATATATAAATACTATATATTTCTTTTAAGTTTTACAACTACCAGATATAACTATGTATGTTTAGTTTTTAATATAAGTTGAAAAATTAATCCACCGAATTAAATTGAAAAAAATGTAAAAGTAAGGTCAATAGAAAATTTATTTATAAAGAATTTGATATATACGTCACAAATATCAACATATTAATAACATAAACTAAAGTCTGTTAGCAAAAATGCATAATAAAAGTCATTTGTATGATTTAAACTCGAAAAACTGAAAATTAATGATTAAATGGTTCTTGAGGATGACAGTGTTATCAATATTTTAATAAACAACTCGAGCATTTTCAATCTAAAACTTTAAAACCTACTTTCTACGATCCGATCGATTTTAAACCACTTTGCATTTATTATGTCGAAAAGTTTAAAAAATGTAAGTATTGCATGACACATTCGTTTCAAAGTCAAATGATTGAATTTTTTAAGGGCAACAAAAGATTAATATTTAAATGTGAATGAAAAATCGATAGGGAAAACAAAAGTAAAGCTTTGTCATTTACATACTGTGTGTTGGTTAATTTTTAATTAAATACGGTATTTTTAACTTACCCTTGCTTGGGCGGTATTTTTTTATTGGTTAAGGGTAAGGGTAACGCCATTAATGAGGTAAAAGGTAATGAGTAAAAATAACCTCGGTTTCAACTGACCTACAGTATGTCAAGGCTTTATTCAGTATTTTTATTAAGTAATTAAATATTCTGATATTTGCCGAATTTCTAATATATGTCCTTTCTCAATTCTAAGAATTTTTTTTCCGTCTGTCTGTCGTCAATATATCCTTTGGGCAATATAAAAAATTTAAGTATTCATTGAGAAATCAGTTATAATGATTTCTATTATAAAACAGCCTATTAACTACGTTAAAAGTTACCTACTGGTACCTACTGGTAAAGCCGGAGTGAAAGTGACACACAAAATTAACGTTGGTAGTGGACAATTGAATTTTGTCCTAATTTCATATACATATTTATAAAGATACCGCATATATATTGCATTTTTATTAAATTTATATTATTTTTTTATTTATAATTAATTATGTTAATCTTCATACAAACAAAGTTTTTATGGATAATGATTAATAAATTAAAAAAGTCAATAAAATGATTACGTATATGTAGGTTGGTGTGTATGGTAAGAAAAGTAATCATTATTCTGTAATAAGGATAAATAAATATATATAACTGTAAAAAATACTTTTTTCGGGTTATTTTTACGAGTTTATGAATGTAGCCCACATTTGTAAGATCCTCTATAAACAGAATAACCTATATATTACTTACATATAACAAAATTATCGTATTGAATCAAATTGATCTATATTAAATTAATCTAAAAATAACCTATATGAAAATTGCAAATTGCACTCGTCTCAAGAACTGCGATCATTGTACATTGTTAACATAATAAAAGGGGTTCTTTAAGCTGTCGATTGAGATTTACCGACCAACAGACTGAGATGTTCACCGACTTTGATAGAGGTCAAAGAATTTGCAGCATAAAATGAATTACGAACAATAATACAAATAAAATATACTACAACTATTTAGAAGAAACCATTTACTATTTAAAAGAAAGATTAAAATAATGATTTATTAGAACAACAAAATGAAACTACAATATTTAAGTAATTTAATATTTGAACGGTATAGAAACACAGTGAGATATATTTATCATGATGTACGAACTTGAAAGATAAAAGATGATTGTAAAGATAAATTACATTACACTCTAACTTGATTCTAAGCAAAGATAAGTTTCCACTTATAACTCTGTTATAGGAAGGTCATTGATATAGAAATGTATTCATTATTGCAAATATTGCATCATATCTCGTTTAAAGGTTTTGAAAAAATTCATTTGAAATAAAATTAACGCATCGAATAATAATAAGTATAATAATAATAATAAGTTGTGGTCTCTGTGAAGTAATTGTACATTTTCTGTAAAACAATTTTAAGGTAAACTTTATCATTTGATTGGATATAATTTCGTATTACATTATGTACCCTACTAAAAACGAATTAAATATCATTGATTCTCTTTCAAATTTCGTTCGATTCTCGTTCTTGTACATATTTAGTAGTTTTACATTTGACGAAATGAATTCACAATCAAAAATGCTCACCATAAGTGAAGTAGCGGCATTCGCAAGGGGTGCATACACGACGTAAGTGTGTCCAGTGATCCAGCCAACGTCAGCGGTGCACCAATAGATGTCCTTCTCGCGATAATCGAATACATAACGGAAAGTAGTCGTCGCGTAGAGCATATACCCAGCGATAGTGTGTAGAACGCCCTTTGGCTTGCCAGTGGAACCGCTAGAACATTAATTCCCCAAATGCTATATCGATACTCAAATAGTTTGACTAACTTGTTCAGTTAATCTCATTAAAAATCTATTTAAAAAACCACCACGTAACTTTAATTGTATAATGATTGTAGATTTCTATTCGATAATGAATGTGCTAGTACATGTTTGGTTTAAGTTTTATTATTCATGTTAATCATAATGTTGTAAAGTTTTTATTATTATATTAGTCGCAGGAAGAATCTCCTTAATACCTAGTGTATAGCATGAACAAGGGGTCCTCAGCATTCATCCACTCGGGAGCGCAGATGGGTGATTGACCCTCCATGATCTCGTGCCACCATACATCCACGTTGTAATTCCAATCGTACTGCGAAACAATGATAGCTAATGATTTTTATATCCATTGCCATTACCTTTACATTGTTCCACTTTATATTAAACCTTGAAACTCATGAGATAAAAGCGGGTTTTATGATAGTAGTATGTATTTTTACCAGTTTCTTTATATCATCCATCTTTCCACATGGTTTCACTCTCCCCAAATGGGACACGACGATGCACAAGCTGACTTCATGGTTATGTTTAGTTCTAGCTTTCTCGAGAGCTTGATCGCAGGTTTTCTTCAACACAAGCAATTTTTCTCCTCTCCACGCCCCGTCAGCCGTTACAAGAACCTTCGCCTTGCAATCGGACATTCGCTCCGCCAGTGAATCCGGGGAAAATCCAGCGAACTAAAAATAATAATTACACTTAAGGAAGTAATTAATACCGGATTGCAAACTTATTGATTCGTTTAAATCCTGTTACAATGGAAATGCATTGAATGTATTAGGATATTTTTATTTTATAGTAATATTTTTTTAACTTACTACAACAGAATGTACTGCGCCTATTCTTGCACAGCCCAACATACAGATGACCGTCTCCATAATCATGGGCATGTAGATGGCTACTCTGTCTCCTTTGCGAACACCATTCTCTCGCAGAGCATTCGCAAACATACAGACAGAATCCAATAGCTTTTTATATGTGATTCGACTGTAGTCATCAGGATGGTTACCTTCCCTGAGTAACAGTCTAAATGTTAATTTCTTCATATAATACTTAAAAGATATTTGGCAAGAGTAATAATGATAAAGTAGTTATGGTACTATTCTTATTTATTATTTAGTTTTTCTGTTATATAACAAAACGATGACACATTATTCAATTCACGCTTCGTCCATAGTACTAATATCGTTACATGTGTTTGTAAGAACTACAGAGGCTGTTTTGAAAGTCAACCTTGAGTAAACTTATGATATATTTTTCTACATTACCAAATTTTTAAATCTCGCACCATAGATAATTGCAATGTTGACTAACTGTGGCTTAATTTTATTCAACTTAAACTTACAGCAACTGTGACAATGTAACGAAATATGTATGTATTTATTATTAATTCACTCATTACGTTATTAGGTTAATTGTTCTCGTGCATATAAACAAGTACCAACGAACTCGGACTATTATTACAAGGTAAGGTCAAGTATTGTACTACATACAAGATTTCGACGAGGAAGGTAAATGCATTTATTATTTTCCCGATTCACAACAAAATTAATATTAAGGGAGTCGATGGAATATTTTTTAACGAAATTCCAAAGCCCTTCCAGTTCAATAAACTGAAAATATTATTATTTCAAACTATTTAAAAAACACAAGCGTAAAATAACACTTTTCTCGGATAAAATTTTAAATATAGAATTTAAAATAAATTTGTAACTTATAAAATTGTCTATTGTTATCAATTTTGCAGTGATTGAAGATGAATTCTTTTCAGTGCCGTCAAGACATCCTTTGTAACGCAACCTCACACAAATTTTAAATCGCATCCCAATCCATTTACCGTTTACCTTTAACCAGTGACTAAATTTCAAAAGCAGATGAAGAAGTTTAAATTATAAGCAACTTCGATAAAGCTTATACCTCAAAGCCACAGTCGGTTATAAAACTTAATATTTCAATCAAGCTTTTATCTTATAAATTCTAGAACTCCCATATTTCTATAAATTAAACATCAATTGAAGAATCGTTTTTTTTCTTAAACTCCAATTACACTTTGACCGTCCTTTTATCAAGTATTAAAACATCAAAAGAATCAAATATAAAAATTGGGTCCAAAGTTTAAAATCAACTGCAATGCGGAAGCTGCATATGAGGTAATCATTTATTTGCGCATTCTGAAGTTTCTTAACTATCAAACTTAAGTCATGTAACAACTCTTAACTGAAATTTTCATCTATAAATATAGTTTACAATTGTATTCTCACGTTATTCTCATAAAGATTAATGTATTCTGATAACCCGACCTGTGATTTAATTTATCGATTAAAATAGAAAATTCAGTTAAAAAGTCAGTTATAGTTATAACTAGTAATTACTGATATTGTAATTGAGTTTGTTGCTTTTTATTAACTGAAATTAGAATAAGTACACAATCACTTGAATCAATTAATCATCGAACTAACTTAAAACGAATATAATAATGTAGATTTAATTAATAGTCTTATGAAAAGATGTTAAATGGAAGTAATAAAAGTAAGAATAAAAAATTATGTAATTATAAGCATAAAATTAAATAAAAAAGAATGTTCAGCGGCCAATGTGTTGATCTTATCATAAAAAAAGCACTTCTTAGAAGCTCGTTAGAGTTATATTCCAATCGCTATAATGCAAATAAAAAATAATATATCTATAAATTATAAAGAATAATGTGTTTATAAATCATAAACCAATAAATTATGTAATGGTAGACCATCAAAGAATTAGTTACTAAAATAAATTCGTTACAAAAACGAAAAATCAATAAGTTCGCGCGCCGTCTCCGTTCGCTGCATTCGCTCAGCTGTCTATTGATTCTTCAATGGCAATTTCAAAAATATCTTACCAGTAGTAAGCGATTTTATCCCCATGACCATTTCTTATGTTACGATCAAGGACGTTGAAGCAAACGTTCGTCGTAGCCCCTTCCAACCATTTAACAAAAATATCCCCCTTGTCGATATCGAAGTTGTACGAAACAAATTTTCCCGGCTGACAGGGGGTTTGCCAGTGAAATTCTTTGGCTATTTCCGACCAAAACGCCTCTGGGTCTTCTAATGATTTTTTATGCATCTCTTTATATTTTTCGAAGGACGGCAAACGTGATTTCTCGACCACATAGTCGGATGGCTGGTAAACGCGCGACATGGTTTATGTTTGCGCTAAAAAAAGGAGCGCACTTGATAGAGTTGTCTTGCTTTGACGGTGTCTCCGCGATTACTGAATGGAATTGTCAGAAGCGAACTTGACGTTTGGCGAACTAGAACCGCTGTTACGTAAAGAATGACGCATGCATGAAACGCGCGTGCGCCTACGGGGTCTGGCTGCACTGTGGCGCCAATTTGAACGTGAAACTATCGTGACTCTATGGAAGATTAAGCAACGCCTTCTTTTTTTCCACTATATTTAAAAACAAAGTAATAACATCAACGTTACAATTTATTAGGTGTAGGTATTCTGTTAAAGATGGCTTCTGAGTCCGCATATATTTTTGACATCAATTTAGTCAAATCATTAAACAAATATATTTAAATTAAGATAATGCAAAGTCATGATTCTGATTCATTTTGTGCTAGATGAATCAAATGATCTTAGTGAGATAAGCTACTCGTACGTTATTCGAAATATAAGAAAAAATATTACTTTAAAGTAACCAGTTTATTTATTTTAACTATTAAATTCTAAGTGTTATTTAAATAAAATTAAAATATATACACCAAAAATTTTGACTACGTTTTGTAATGAATACATGGTATTAAAAATAATAATTTTACTATAATATTAAGACGTATAAACGAAGCAATATTTACATAATATAATGAAATAGAAAATTACTTGCAAAAAAAATATGTACTATCATACTTTGTTAAGACTATCAATGTTGTGATACGGAAAAGTTTAAACAATTCGATAGATTAAATCAGAATATTTTAACCTGACGGTAGATTATTGGGCAGAAATAAAAAAGCACTTGTAATGATTGATTAAATTTTAATTTTCCTACTTAAGCTAACATTATTTTTGCAACAGAGGTTGTAACAGTCATTCTACTACATAAAGATATTCTGCGACACCAATTAATTATTACTAAGATTTTTTTTTTTATTTCAACAGACATGTATAGTGTATCTTTATCATTATTATAATTATTTTTATGTCAACACAACTGTGTTGTTCAGGAATAGAAGGATACTTTATTTTCTAGAAACAGATATACGAAGTCATTGATGATCGCAGTTCCATAAAAATTAAGTCACATAAATTAAAAAACAAGTCTAGGACATATAAAAAATATAAAAATTCAATAAACGTTTATAAAATTTCATTCAATTATAGCTTAATTAAAACGTCATTCATAGTTCCAGAAATTGACGTATACTAATTTCAAAATATCAAATAATATATTAATACAGTCGAGGGGTATAAATTAGCCCAAAAATATAGGCAGTATAGTAGAATTTTAATAAGATATAAGGGCTAAATTAGACTTTAGCTTTAGTTTGTGGTTTACACAAACACCTTAAGCTCTACAATTTGATAACGTTTCATATATATATCATATCTTTTTTCTATACATAAAGTCATTATAAGTAACAGGCTATAGTTCAGCCTGAAATAGGAAATACGATACAACTTCGACACGCGGTCATTAATATTCGACCAATATTAGAATTTCTCTTTAATATATAATATATAACACCATCGTAAGCTCTACGATTTGATAATATCAATTTTTTTTAATATAATTATCTTATTATAATCCACAGGCTTTAAAGCGGCCCAAAAATGTAGACAGTGTAATATAACACTAACAAGAAACATGGACATTCAAATAGTAATAGTAGACTTTAACCTTAGTCTATGGTATAGTGACGTATAAGCTCTACACGTTGATAGGATAGAATATGTATATTATTTAATAATCTTCAACATCAATAAAGCCATTCTACTATTCAGACCAAAAATGCAGACGGTAACATAGAGTATAGAAGACAAGGTCTTTATATACCACGATTAGACATCTCTAATCTATGGTTTGGACCGGCCTTAGTGATTTTGGCACCGGTTTTCGTACTATGGGGTTTATTCCCTCCCATTCGCCACCTCATCGGATGGCGAAGCCTCCTGCTAGGTGGCCAATGAAACAAGTCTACGTCTCTTAATGATACGGGCACATCGTTTCCAGAATACAGCGATGCAATATATTATGACGAATACGGAGCATATAGATATCACTCGGCTGATGAATGAAGTTTGTATCGGATCGTCCTCAATGCTGTGAGCTGCGGCCACGGCTCCACGCCACGCACGGGGCGCTGCTTCGGTGCCTTCGATATCAGGTGCGCCTATATAAATATAACAGCTAATAAAAAATCTGCAGAAATACAGCGAAATTGATTATTAATATTAAATATCTATGCACGGAAGATCATATTGATGTACTTCCCTATAAGTCGAGAATTGAAGCTTAATTAAGTTCTCTAGTTCTGAACGGTTTAATAGAAAACAGCGATGTTATTTTCTTACAATAATTGTTGGTCCATTTTATCGTTTCGTTTAATAAACTACCTATTCTTAACAGAGACAGAAACTTTCTCCAAAAAAATTAATCAATTGTTTTGAAGCTAGCTTTGTGTTTGCATTTGACCAAAGGATTTTCAGAATTATAAAGCATTCAAGTTTTCTGGAGGTAAGTAGAATTGCAAGTTCATCTACATGTACTATCTTGCTTCCAATTATGGACAATCATTAATTTAATTAAACTCCTTGTTTCCCTGTAACCAATCGTATGATACTTTCCACATTCTTTCCAGATAACTGTGTTGCGATCGCTAAACTATATAAAATTTTGTTCTTAACACATCAGCATATAAATAATTTGTTTGCAGAATCAAATTTAGTAAGTTTTATGGGAGTACCAATACTCTTTGGGTCGGTGGGTTTGTGTCGTGGTGCGAGGGTCCTAGCAGATGGCGGAGCGTGTACTGGTTCAGGGTCCATTGGGCCTGTGACCACACAATCTGGTAAAGGCCTGGGCCCACTGCCATCTGGTGACAAAACTCGAGAGTACGCGTGGAGACGACCGCCTTCAGCACGCTTCGGGAGATCTGAAATGTAGCCTTTAATATTGAAAATAATGGAAGTGTTTTATAAAACAAATTTAGTGCTTTTCCTTGAAATTAGATATAATTAACTAGGTTTTCCATTTTTTTAGGTTAAAAATTGATTGACAAAGCAAAACTTAAAAAAAATGAGTTAAGAAATATAGCTGACGCAGAATGAAGGATGGGAAAAATTTTTACTTAAAAGAAATTCCGCTTGACATAGAACATTATAAAATCGACATTTTTTTCGGCGAACAGGAATTTATGTTTAATATAATATGTTTATAAGACCTGATGGTATTATGTTAACGTCTCTGTGTTGAGTAGATGTCGTTGCGTCCAAAAGCGATGAAGGCATATGTCCAACCAATGCGTACTGCAGAGCTGCCAGAAGTAACCAGTGACAGGGTCTGGCCGCTCCACCTTCCAGGCAGGAAGAGTCTCCATAAACAACCAATCGCCCAGCCTGGTGGTCGAAAATACCTTTCATTCATTGTTTCATAAATCCGTAACCTAAATCCGCATATGAAAATAAACTTGCTATATAATGACTTGAAATATCAATAGAGTCAAACCTTAGGTAGCTTTTCATTAGTATCGTTGCTGTAGTCACGTGTTTCTGGGTCAGTCTGAAGCAAACCCAATATCGGCACTTCCACCGTCTTACGAGTCTGAGCCCCTCCAGATTTCTCGCCTGACATTATCTGTCAGAGAAAAATTATGTATGAAATGAAATTTAACCAATTAGAAGACTGAAGAAAGCTAGCGAAATAGCTCTTTTTATTTAATTCTCTTAATGGCTTTTTCTTGTTCGCTAGCCACCGAGGTGTGAAAAGGGAAGAATGCTCCAATATGCCCTGCTCATTTCCAAAATTTACATTCTCTTTTGATATTTTCAAAATGGAGTAATTCTAATGTAACTTTTTTACTTAAGTTGAAGTAATTTCTTTTGGCAAACTACCTTGCAGGGCCATTTCTTTTTTTGAGGTGGATATAATATTTGATTAATATTTTGAATTATAATGTTAGGAAGATATTATCTAATTTCTTCGAATACCTGCTGTCCCTGATCCGATAGCTTCGCTGACACCAATACACCATGTTCTGGAAAGCTATGTATATGTGTGCCGCTAGCGTAGTACATTGGATGGCCGGCCAACTTGAACGACCCCTCAAACACGCGATCACCAAACGCCACCTGTTTTAGGCGCAATCATAATTTTACCTTATTTTTTGTATAAAAACTTATTAATGTACCAAAATATAACTGCTCTCTTAATTATAGTTCTAATCATACAAGCAATGTGAGTAATTTGGCAGCTTATTGCCACTTGAACTCTTTTGATAGCGCTAAGATTATGTACTCACTTGAAACATGCTTAATAAATCGTTTAGCGCTGGAACATTTGTACCACCAGTTTCTGGTATCCACCTTTGAGATTTACAAAATTATGTAATTAATTTACCCAGTAAAGAACATGGAATAGATTGTTATGTAAATATTTAGGATTAACGTTTACAGAAACCTACCATTGTCGTGTATTTTCATCATAGAATTTGACATGTCTCAACAGTGAAGCATTGTACCAATCCGCAAAAACAATCAGTGAAAGTCCAGAGTCTACTGCCCTCTTCAAAGTCGCCATTTCTTCGGGGAAGTATTCGTCCTCGGGATCAACGAGCAGCAACGCTCCGTACAGTGAAGTATCGATACAAGTTAGGGGATTACCTTGACAGAACAATTTCATATTAACTTTAGTAATGATCTTTGCTATGGTCTTGAATTACTATCGACAAATTTTAACTCGAAACTAAATTAAAAAAAGAAGAAAATTTTGAAATAAACATTACGTTACCTAAAATTGAACGCACCCACCTAAATTTTAATTATTATTAATCTCAGGGAAAACATATGTTACGTACTTGATTATTTCGGAATTGTAAATACGTAATTTGATAAAACTGTGTTATCATTTATAAGCGGAAGTTGTCCGCTATCACAAGATGAGTATTTAGATGAAGCGAATAAAACAATTTTCTTACCTTTTCATAGCAAGTTTTAGACCAACCTTACCTTAGCATAACGAATATTTACGAGTTACCATCTGATTTCTTATATCGAGGTTTAATCATAATTACCTAACAAAATCATTAACTTTCAGACTAAATAAAATATGGTTCATAATGCAATTAGTTTTGATAGTCACCGCTAGAAATCTTAGGTTACCTGCAGACTATACGAAAAATGATTTATTCTTAATTGGAACGTTTCAAACATGTACCTACCTATACAAATAAGACAGACTTACCCATAACCTCCACATAAAATCCATGCTCCCTCAATCTTCTATACATGTCTCTGAAATTGGTGTGCACGTGATCGGCGTGCCAATCGAGTGGGTCGTGTTTGGCGCGAAGGTCATCCCTCGGGAAATAACCTCCGGGATAACGAAGACTATGGAACTGATCCCACAATAGACGACGACCTCGCACTGGCACCGGGATAACGCGGGCACTAAACCATAGAAATAATTCTCAACTATATCCAAATATTGTATCCAAATACGTGCGTTATACATATAATTCTTCTGTGAGTGTGTGTCACTGAACTTCTCTCCATACTGGACCGATTTTGAAGAATTTTTTTGTGTGTGTTCAAGGGGATCTGGGAATGGTTTAGATTCACAATTTTTGTCCGCTGGACAATGTTTTTTTAATTAATCTTTAATTTATTAGTAATTGTTGATACAATTTTTTTTTTTTGACATAAGATTTGACAACTAACTAATATGTCATAGATTCATGGCTTTAACAGGTAAACTCCAAAAATATAAATAAAAAAACGTAACAGATATTTCTTTATTATAGGGCGATACGAAGTTCGCCGGGTCTTCTAGTTCTCTATATGACCATAATCTGAATGTGCTAATAAATCCAACTTACCGTATCGGAAGCATGAGGGTAGTATTCTTCATGATACGGTCGTTGACCTCGTCGTAACTTTCAATCGTAATGTTCATGTGACCCTAGGTAAACATTTTTTTTTTACAGAAACTGATAAAGGACATACATAAATTAAATTAACAATAGTATATATAATTTATTATAAGTATTCACTTCAACAACGCCGTCGAAGTTAGCGCCCGCTTCCAAAACTGTGAAACTAAGAGCTAACCATCCGGACCAGGGCCAAAGCACTTCGTTGTAATCCGCTCCAACAGCCAGTATTGTACCGTGAGGCAAATGTGGGTGCCAGCTGACCTTTTTCTATATAAAAAAATACATATAAGGCTGTGTTTACATTAGAAGAGAAAAGCGGAAAAAATAGCTCAAGATATCAATTCAATCTAGAATTTGATGATTTTTTTTTTAATTTTTTACATGACATTAATGTTTATCTTAAAGGACTTACCACTTCACCCACCACGCCGAGCCCGTTGATAACAGTGACGTTTGCGATGGTGGGTTGAGCACTATAGTACAGCGGCTGAGTGCAATACGGCCACATGTACTGACATTCAGTCAGGTCAATGTATGATGGGCTTAAAGTCGCTTGTGGCTCGTACTCGCGAAGAAACTGACAGATAATTATTATTTTAAAGTATATTATATTGAGTTAAGTGGCGATTTTTGGTGTTTTATTACTATGAAGATAATAAAGTAAAATATTGATTTATTTTATACATTCCTATACATATAATTGTATTGAATTTATATCTACTCTCAGAAAAGTGCAATTGGAAGCTTTGCGACTAAGAATTTTATTATATTTGAAGTCTTAAAATCTAATATTTAAAGTGAATAAAATTCTAGTATAACAATGAAGTGGAGCACTTAATAACACACGGAGAATAAGTGAGAATATACATATATGTAAATACAATGTGGTTAGCTTTGCTCTTTTCCCCACTTAGCAGTCGGCTGTAATGCGACAAGCGATAGATGTACGAAAAAATTATGGCGGCAATAATATCAAATTTTCACTTTAATATGTTAAAACAGAATTAGAATGTTTGTTGAAGGACTTTTCCTTGCATATAATAGGACATGTGACTTCCTGTTAGACTGAAATAAACGATAAACACACCTGATACGCGCTAATAAGGTCTAGTTTCCCGTGTCCCTGTTCAAACATATTATAACCGGGCAAACGGCGTGCTGTTATACACAAAGCTTGCTTCACAGCAGCTGGTGTTAAATTCTGACGAGGAACACCACTAGCGAGGAGTGCTATAGCACCAGCGACCACTGGGGAAGCTACGGACGTACCTAGGGATATAATCAAATATATATTATATAAGTTAAGTTACCTTCCATTCTGATGAAATTTCCATATTCAATAACAAATGCACACAATTCATAATAGTAATGCAAGATTAAGGGATATTTTTGCAACCATAGTTGCCAATATATATAGAGCATTATCACGTGAATATATTAAAGGGAATTTTTAAAATAATTTATCATACCACTGAGTGATCTACAGCCGCCATTAACGCTTGAACCACGAACACCGCTGCCGTAGGTCACGATGTCTGGTTTCATTCTACCGTAACCCTAAAAGATGTTATTATATTTATTGCTTTTAAATTTTATTTATTTCTTTTAAAATGGTGTATTCTACCCATAGTCAAATTTGGTGTAGCCTAGCCATTGAAAAAGAGGCCCAATTTTGGCACCATATCTTGCCAGTAACTATTACGCCCCAAATCGGGCGTCAATATTTTCATTATTTCTAATCTATTGGTTGTAAAACTAACATAAGGTAATTCCCAAGTCGTCATTCCTCTAGACGAGAACTTTGCGATGCGATCATCAAACCCGATGCCTCCCACTCCAATAACATCCATCTGATCCGCCGGATTGTTTAGAGTTCCGTATAATGGACCATCATTGCCGATAGCAGAAACCATTATAACCTGAATAACAAAAAATAATAATACTCATTATAATATAGTGGTTCGTTTATACATGGTGTTCATTTATTGTTACCTTGTTAGCGCTAAGTTCCCATACTTTATCCACAAACGGATGGTCCATAAAATCCGGACCGCCAATACTTAGGTTCAAGACATCAATCTTACGCATTATCGCGTAGTTAAACGCATCCAGGAACCACGAAGTATATGACACCTACATATATCATACTATCATTAGCATATTATACTTGTAATAAAAAAATAAGTTAATTAAACTATATCATACATAAAGAATTAATTAAAGAATACACTAACAACAACATGTTTGATAAAACAACACTACTTTAGTTTCAATGTAACATTAATATTATACCGTTTCTTTGTAATGGAACCGCTATCTGAAATTATCTTAATGTACAAACAGAAAATCGTTTAATTATAAGCAGATCATAATGTCAAGTCATAGATTGTAAATATAAACTCGTTTATCGTTTTATGACATAATAACTATCTTATCTCTGTATGGAGTTTCTGTATGAAGGATAATATTTAACATAAAGACCCTTACTACCTAATTATCTGTAAAAATGAACATAGCTATGGGCCCTTATTACCTGATTGTCTGTGAAAATGAACATAACTATGGGCCATTATTACCTGATTGTCTGTGAAAATGAACATGACTATGGGCCATTATTACCTGATTGTCTGTGAAAATGAACATGACTATGGGCCATTATTACCCGATTGTCTGTGAAAATGAACATGACTATGGGCCCTTATTACCTGTGAAAATGAATATGACCATAGGCCCTTACTCCCTGGTTACCTGTGAAAATGAACATGACTATAGGCCCTTATTACCTGATTGTCTGTAAAAACTCTGAAGATGTGTAGATCAGCGTCTGGAGCGAAGCCGAGGCAATCTGAACGCGATGCTATCACACCAGCTACGAAGGTTCCGTGGCCTAAAGCATCGTCCAGTGTGTTCTCGCCGGTCCAGTCTGTGCGCTCCCTAACACGACCGAAGTGAGGGTGGTGTCGCGCTAGACCAGTATCGAATACCGCCACTTTGATGCCCTCACCTAAATAATTGAGGAGGAATTTTTGTTAAGATTTCTGACGTTTTTTCCTGAGATCATTAAACAAATAGATCGGATTGTCCTCTGTCTAAGAAATAGATTACTTCATACTTCCTTAGATAAAAAAATAATTGAAATCTCACACTAGAGTGTGAGAACACTACATGCTTTGTTATTGAAACTTACCGGTCACTCCCAAAGACCACAGCAGATCAGCTTTCAGAACAGATGTTATTTGACGAGGTACCGTACGGAGAAGTTTTCTAGAGGTGTAGCCTCCATTCTGTTTCATAAAAAATATTTTAAGTTGAATCATACACAAAATAATAAGTTTTTTTTATTTCCACAAGCGGTTATTTCAATGAAGTTTGCACTTTTATGTCTGATATTTTATAAAAGTGTTGGAATTAAGATACAGTTCTTAAAAATACCCACGGCAACAGGCAAAACGACCTCAGTTCAGTCTTTCATAGAAATATGAAAAAAATCTTTTTAAATACCAAATATATATAGATACTTACATCTCTAGTTTTACGTAAAGAATGAAGAACCCTGGAACGGCGATGATTCCTCCATCCAGAGTACATACAACCAGACGGCCCACAGTCATCCTGACAACCAAACAAAAAAAATTGCAATTGATTTCTACCTAATTATAATGATTTTTTAATTCCAAATATGGATCTTGTTTAAATACTCCAAAATAATGTGAAGCTAGAAACGTATATATGCTCGTTGTTTGATAGTTACCAAGAACCTTCTTAGATTCTTTTGAAGCCCGCGGAATAAAAACAACGAAAAGTCCGAAACTAAGGTTAACGACACTGAGTCGAAATTGATACAACCTAATAATGAAGGCACAGCTAGGGCAGGCTTTGGCTATTCGTGAAAAAATCTTCCACAATGAACATAAAATATATTTTATTAAAGGGACTTTGATAAATTTTGCTTTATTGAGAAATTGAAACGTAGTGACTAGATTGAATAAAGTAGATTGTATAGATGTGTTTAGCGATGATAGAAATATGGCATTTAAATTACGAAAACAGAATAGCAAACAAGACATTGTTCTTGATTATTTTTTTTAATTGTCCCAAGTCTGTATTGCGTGTTAAATTATGTGCTTAGATTCATTTATGACACTCTAAACATTATAAATGAAGCGTGTAGCTAATTATCAAACATTTGAGTCCATTCATTAAATTCCAAAAATAACCAATCAGAAATGTTAATGCAAAATGAAATCCCAATAATTACATGAGATAATGTATATGTCATTTCGTTTGAAGAAATGTGCATTCATTAATATATATAAAATATATATATATATATATTTATATAATATATAAGCTGGGTGTTGTCCCAGTTAGTTGCATAACCGTTAGGTCATAGAAATAGGTCAGGCTGAATGCCCTAGTTTATCTAGGATCGTTAGCCTGGACATGCGCGTACAAGTGCATTTAGGGGGATGGGGTTAAAATTCAATAAATCAGCACCTCGCGCACGTATTTTATTGTCCGTTGCACCTGCCGCTGCGCAGTTACCCGGCGAACCGCTGGGTGGTCACGCAAAGCATCGATCCCCTCCCTTATCTTCTCCCCGAACACAATGACGTCAAAGTCGCTAGGATATTCCATAGCGGGATTATTACGCTGCAGTATGGTCCAATTGGATACCTGAAACAATTTCCTTTGTTGCATACACTTAAAATCTACATCGCTTGGAAATATTTCGCATATACTTCTGTTCTATATTCGCATTTGCCAAACAAAATATTCTTATAATGCAATAGAAAATTCTATAACACATTACACAAAGAATGGATAAAGTATATAACAAAGAAATATTATTTAAATTTCACAATTCCATAAGACTCTCATGCCTATTTATAGAATCGTTTATGACAGAAAATGGTTTTCTTCACAAATATCAGTGTTTTTTACTTCTATGAGAACATTAAGACTAAATAGTCCAATATAATCCATTCCTTGATAGCAATGAATTTTGGGGTATGGGATAATAAATCCTTTGTTTTCATGGAACGGAAACAAAGGAAGAAGTATTTGAATAGAATTTTAATCTTATTACCATAAAAAAAATTACATGTATAAAGTATAGTGTTAACACAATTTAGTTACCATAGTGTTACAAAAGATTTATTCTATAAATAAAAATCCAATTTTACAATCTAACATATATCAGAATGTTGCACACCCAATAAATTTCCCATAATTCCTATCAAGTACAATTTAGACAAAAGACCCTCGATCAAATTGTGGGCACTACAATGGTTTAAGAAATCATCACTATAAAGAAAATGTTGTTAGAGGCATCGATTCAACATTTTAAATGGAAGATATTTTTACATTGACTTGAAAACGCTATGATAATAAAGTGTCATACATTTGCTATTTCGCTGATAATAAAATTACATGTTAATTTATTATTAGGAGATAACGCAATATTCTTTATGGTGAGTAATTATAACAAGATAATGTTAATTTCCTAAATATTTTAGTTCATTTCAGTTTGAGCACAAATTATAGCATTGTTATACTATTTAATAGTTCTGTGAATGAAAGCCAGCAAAAAAAACACAATTTCCATACAAACAGTATTAAATTAGAAATTCAATAAATATATATTTTGGGTAATTAGTATGATATGTGTAACTCACCTGGGCATTTTTCAGTGCAGCATTCACATAGTTTTCTCGGGTAGTTTTGGAATAATATCCTTTGAATGTAATTATATGTTCGGTGTTGACAATATCTGAATCAAATTTATATTCCAATCGCTCGTTAACCGTCGCATTACAAAGGATATTGGTATCCTCAGCAAAAACCACAAAATTATAATAACTTAACCAAAACAAATAAACAAATTTAACGAGCCCCATTTTTCGCGTTTTAGTAAATATCTTACTTATTTACATCTTGAGCACAATTATTTAACTGACTGCTAGGTAACAAGAGCATTATAATTTGTTATATGATTCAATGTTTTAAGCACGAGCTTCAGTTCCAAACTGAAATATAAATCATTTATGAACTACTGCACAAGCGCAGTCTATAAGATAAAAATGTAGTTCATTGGCACCAACTGCTATTTCGTCCTGTCTTTGGATCATTCTTACTTCTTGTCAATTCACATTTAGGTACATCAATTAACATTCAGTTTAAGATTCTGAATAATGATAATATCATTGTCAAGTGTCAATACAAAATATTTTTAATGTAGTCTTTTTTCATATTTTTTTTTAATTTTGTAAAAATTAATTACAAATTTATTAAATAATTATAATTTATCAGAAATCTTCGACATATTTACTCTCTTAACATTTTTCTCAGTTTATTGTCAAAAGAATTAACAAGATTTTTATTTATATACTTAATTTAAAGCAGTTTCTAAGAATGATTATTAGATGTAGTACATATTTTTGAAGTCCTTATTTGTAAAGACTACTTTCTTTTACTTTGCTAAAATCTTTTCCCAATAGAACTCCAGACACTGTCATTTGTCAAAAAAAATGTCATGTTTTTCGGTAATCTCAGTTGTCAAAGTTCACACCTCTGTCAAAGAGTTGTTTTATTTATATTTTGTATGTAAAGTATTTATATAAATTATAACTTTGTCTGTTGGGTAAAATAATGGAAAAATTATAAATGGCTTAAAAGAATCATGACATGCTCCTCGTGAATAAATGTAATACAGTAGTTTTTATTTATCTTAAAATATGATAAGGTAGCATAATATATCTTTATGTCGATGAGGCATCAACTAAGCGCACATTTTATGTGAAAAATCAAAATTAGTATATTTAAAAATGGTAGTTTTACAATGGCGTTTTCAATGGAGGGGACTTTTTGGAAACATCAAGTAAGTGTTAATAGGAGTATTTATATTGATTAAAAATTTACATCATAACAAACAAAAACAAAAAAAATCGTTTTAGTCTCTATAAATAAAATATTCAAAACACTATATAGTGTATAAAAAGGGGTGTCTATTATAGCATTCTAACAAAATAACAAAACCTGTATATTAAAACCAAAACCAGTCCTGAACTAAAACCAGTAAATTTATAGTCCAATGAGGAGAGTATTAAGAACATGTATTCCTATAGCCTTTCCAAATTTTTGCATTATCAAGTAAAATACAGGACATTTTCAATCTTTAATATTAAATCATTATACAGTGCCATATGAATGTAGGAATGAAAAACGGCAAATACTCCCAATCTTGGTAAGAGTACTGAACTCTGGTAATAATATTTTTTTGTATTAAATGTACAAAATAAATTGTATTGAATAATATTAGCATTAATGATATTCAAAGATATATTAGCTATATTCCTATAGTTAATGTGGCTATGACTGGTTTGACTCAAAAGAAATCCAAAGAAAATGGCTAAGAGTACATAATCTTATTATGAATCAAATGTATTTGTAGACCAGCCATGCACTCTGTAAGATTTTTATTAAAGATTTTTGTAGATATTTTTTTGAAATTTTGTTACCACAGAAATATTAGTGAGGTTGATGATTATTAAATCAATAATATCAATTTAGGAAAATTTATTGTGTGATTTCAGAACATAAAATAATTGTGGGTTCAATATATAAATAATTCTGTCTGTTAGGATTTAGCATCTACATAATATGAATTGTTAATAATATCTTTCACTTGCTGCAACCAAAATAGAATTTCTATTACACATATTAAACCTGTTAATTTTAAATAAGTTTTCAAAGACTTATTAATCAGAATAAATACACTATTATTAAATTAAACAAAAAATTATTAAAACATCACTTAGGTTAGAAAAATTTTATCAAATTCAAAATTGTATCAATTGTGTAAATTAAATCAAGAGTCTATTGTACTAAATGGTATAAAAACAATAGGTGAATTTAATTTAATGTTAAAAGAGAGTGAATTGTAATGTTGAAGAATAAAAATTTAAGTCTAAGTCATATTTGGTCATCTAATTGTTGTATAGGTAAGATTTAAAGATTGTATAGCAACAAGTAGATACATTAATTTATATTCCTAAATAGTTTTTGAAATACATATTTAAATATTATCCATAGATGTTAGTGGTTTTTAATTAATGACAATTTATTTTTTAAATTTGTATGAATATTATAAACATATTTAACAATTAACTTTTCATTTCAGAGCATACATAATATGGAAGTTTACCCAAGCGTTACTAACATTTCATGTTTTAACATACAACACGCATATGAGCCAGAGTTACGCAATAGATTGCCTTTTGGAACCAGTTTTTTGGTTTGTCGATAACTTTGCCGGATATTTAGGAAGGGTATGCATTTAAGTGATTATTTATGTGTAATATTTAATAAATTATTCTAAAACATTAATATTTTTGTAGGTATTTGTATTTTGTGTGAGTATACTTACTACTGCAGTGGTTTTCATAGCTTACTGGGTGGGTCTGCCGTATTGGTGGGAGAAGAGTCAATGTGTGACAATTGCTTTAGTTATATTTGGTAACTGGATTTTGCTCAATATTATCTTTCATTATTATATGGGAGTGAAAACCTCCCCTGGATACCCACCTCATGTAAGTATACATCAAAAAGAAATATTTTTTCTATACATGTTGTTTATTAAATTAACCTTAATATTCAATTGAAATGATATGAGATATATGATAATAATTAATAAGTACTAAACTTAAAAATATATTTTTTTCTTTATTATTTAAATGCTTATGTTACTTGTACTTAATTTTATATTTTGCTGAAGTTATATGGTTTATATTTGATTTTTTTCAGGGTTCTTTAATATCAGAAGCTGCAAGTATATGTAAGAAATGTATATCTCCGAAGCCACCTAGAACTCACCACTGTTCAGTGTGTGACCGCTGCATTCTCAGGATGGATCATCACTGTCCCTGGCTTAATAACTGCGTGGGCTTCTACAATGCAAGATATTTTTATTTATACATGGTGTATATGGTGATGGGCGTTACATTCTTGATTGTGTTTGGTATTGATTTGGGCTACCAAGTCCTTTGGGTAAATGATACAGGTGAGTGTAACTTAACATTTGTTATTTCTAGTAAGTTTTGATAATTTATTTAATTAATTTCAACGAATTACTCTTTAGAGTCTTAAAAATGGTAAATTTTATGTTTCAGGTGGTTTAATATCTGAAAACGATCCAGATCTTATTGGCCATCCAGTTCGTATGAACCAGAGCGGAGTATTGGTTCCAGTACAAGTTATAGCTGAATATGATTCTGTGAATTTCCCTCGCAACCATATACTTCCGACCCCAGTTATTACCGAGGCTCAAAGGATAACAGCTAACTCATGGAAAAGGAAAGCGGTTATGTTCATGGCTATGATATGTTTGTCAGTGTTATTTGCTCTTGGTACACTAGTCGTAATGCATGGAAAGAACATTAGCAGAGGTGAAACCAGTATAGAAGCTCATATAAATGAGAGACTAAGAAAGACACATAAAAATAAATTCATTAATCCATATAATTTTGGGAGGAAGAAGAATTGGAAGTTGTTTCTTGGTTTGACTCAAGGTAGGAAATTTTGGAGACATGTTTTGTTGCCATCCAGTCATGCCCCCGCGGGTACTGGCCTTACTTGGCACACCATACATAATTCCTCGGAAGATTGGCCCTGAATTTATCCTATCTATTAACCAAATAGGCTATAACTAATAAGTATTGAACACTCATTTGCTAGGACTTGTGGCGTTTGAATTGTTCTTTAATACATTAAAATAAGTGTAAGGAAATGAATAATTTGTAACAACCTAAGTGGATTTGCAACAAAGAGTTGACTTAATTTTAATATATTTGGATAAAAGTTTAATTGTAGGAAAAAAATAGAAACATTAAATGTAAATATTTCATTTGGTCAGAAATCTAACAACTTTGTAACGGTTACATTACGGTATCCGTCAAAACATTAAAAATATAGATTAATTCATATTTGTATTTCTGGGAGAAAATGGTTCATTTTGGTTGCCATATGTAACGACATATGCTGTAGCATTTTATAGCGAAAGTCGAAATAACTTTTAATATAATTAATTTTAACTAACAAGGAAAACCTCAGAAACATAGTCATGAAGAGGATGAGTGAATAATACCGTTGAGCTACATATATGTAATTTTTTTTATAATACTCTACGTATATACATAATATACCTACGGTAGAACACTTACGACTTCCCTGATTTTTGGTGGGCCTAGGTCAGGCCTATCCAAATGTATGTTGTCCACTTTGAGAACAAATGAATTTTAGCGCAATAATTTTTTCACCCATTTAAAAACCATAATAACTTAGCTAAATTACAAATCATCTCCAAGGCCTCTACACAAGATTATTTTTTTTCTGTGTTCTTTACTGCTTCGCTTACGGTATGCAGCGTCCCCTAAGTCGTTATCATTAACTCTGTGAAATCCTGTTTGATCAGATGAAAAGGGAATATTCCATGTTTGGACCTACCTGTGTAAATTAAATTTCCCAACGTGGAGTGGTCTCGCTCTACACTGGTAATGTCTCAATTACTTCGAGAATTGTTTTCCTACGCTATGCCGTTATATCGCACTTTGTTGTGGCTACATTACACAAAGACTTTTCGTAGTGAATGTATAAACTTATATATAGGGTTGGGAAAGATTCACTTTTCTCTTTTCGAAAATCTGCTCTGAAGTATTAATTTTATTTTTCTTTCCGATACCTACCTATAGCCATATATATAGCGATACCTGTAGCCAAGATGAAACATGAATCAATACAAAAAGCACGACTGTTTGGTCATCTTCATTATAACACAGCTACAAAAATAAATAGGTTGTAGCAACGAACCGGTGTATTAAACATCAGAAAATTAGAATGTAAAAGTATCATTCGCGTGTTATTGACATAACAAGTTTAATTTGAAGTTAAAAATAATACAAAAATATAGTTGTCTTTCTAGAATGCTTTAGTGGGCTTTTAAGATTACAATGAGGTGATAAAACGTATTAGAGGTAACTTTCTGTTGTTTGGTCAAATGGTACAACGTTCGTGGGCAGATATCCCGATGAAAATCAGACAAATTAAATTGTAAAAATCTCGGAATACATTCCCATGCAAAAGAAATCCTCTCTGCATATTTTTTTTACAAAAAAGTCAGATTAATTAACAGAGCACTGGCAGACGGCTTTATTAACTAACGGACCGTGTAATTGTATAATGAAGGAAATCTTTTGCAAGTTTTTGATATGGACAGCATTTACTTATTGTAAAGCTTTTGTGAAATTTCAGTGTAATCAATTTCGATATCGATTTTGAAATTACATTCGTAACTAGTCATAAATGTATTTTTTAATTTATTTGTATGTAATTTAAATCATTACCATATTTAAGAATAAATAATTCTCCACGTACTTTTATTGTGGGATTTAATTCTAGGCTAGTCTCGATATAGAAAATAATTTTACTTGATACAAAGATTGATTAATAAGAACTAAGTTCATTATAGATTTGGTAAGTAGAACTAAAGATAGGTTTAAGAAAATACCATTAAAATATTAATTAGTTTAGTCTAAATGTCATAGAAAAGTGAGTTTTTAAAATGCTTTACTATCTTATTTTTAATTGATAATAAAGTACAGTAAAGAAAGTAATAAACGAAATATTTCTAAGTATATAATTCAAAACTTTAATAAGGATTAACAAGTTTCAATCCAGCCGTTTAATATGTCGTACTTAGATTATAGAAATATTAATGTTTGTATTTCCATGGAAAACGAGATAATCTTTATGTGCTTTTCTTGTAATACTAAGTTCAGTATTTTTAAGATGCTATCGATACCTATTGAAAGACGGTATGAAATCCGTTCCAAGATAAGTTACCACGTAAATCTAATTACAAGTACCGGCCCTTACTCCAAAAAAAACTGCTTGAATTTTGTTTAAACTTACCGTATTCTACAAAATACATGCTTATTTTAAGTTTGTATTTTCACACTATGTGCAGTATTCTAACAGGTTTTCATTCATAAACTCAAATTATAATAATAACGTAGGTTATTGAATGAATAGGGAATCACATTATGTATTCATATTTCGATTGACTCTTTTTCAACACAACAATATTTTGCTATTAATGTTCATGATTAACTTATAATTTTGAGATTTCATTATTTTTATTTAACCGTCTTCAATAAAGGAAGTTTTCTATAAGTGCTATTTTTCTTTTATATATCCGATCAAATATCCTTTACGTTTTGGATATTTTTGTTGCTATTTTATATGTATCTTTATGTTATATTTTGTAAGTTATTACAAAATTATCCTATAAAATCGTTAATGGATATCGAAAATATTTATAAATGTATACAATCTTTTTTGTTACTCTCAGTTTGTGCTTATTTTTATTCGTCCTTGACGAAATTATTTCTTATTATTTATGTTATACATCAAACATGTACATATAGCAAATAGTTGAGGATAATACTTTACATATATGTCTATAGATGTAAGCGCTAATATTGACATTCCTCTCATGAAACACTTATAAATTAATTTATGATAGTTTAATAGTAAGATATAATATTGATTGCTTAGTAATCATGACACAGTAATTCATTTAAATTATAAAGGTTCATCTTTCTAAGAATTTATGACTACTAGCCAAGGAAAAATGTTTTTTTTTTGCAAAAGCCGAATAACATAGTGTTCAGAAGCACTTAGCCTTAGAAATTTCACTAATTAAGGTAATACTTTTTTCTACAATGTTCGTTATTTTGACTAATTTCTAAATAAATATATTTTTATTAACAAATATTGTTTCTTTTTGTTGTTCATTACCTTCATTTCTTTATTTGTTCTTTTTAACAAGCACAAAATGCGCCACATAGGTTCTTCAACAATTCGACAAATTTCTTGAATAACGTTTCATTGAGGTTTCAGAAAAAAGAGGCGAAATGAATGAACACTCAACAGTTTTCTTTATTAAATTCTTTACAATAAGCAGATAGCTAGAAATGAAAAATTAAATAAATTTCACTGTCACCTAATTGATAATTACATAACAAATACTTAATCTATATTGCACCATTCGCTTAGAATTATGACCAGATTACAAAGTTATAAATTAAAAATAAAATACATATAATATTTAGTAGTCATGTCTTAATTAATGTCATTAAAGTATGAATTTCTATCACTAGTGTATTACGCCTTTATTATCGTTTATTGCTTCTTTTTACCAACTTATTTTTCAATAGAATCTAATTTTTAGATTATTTTAATTAATTTTATAAGTACGTTTGAAATTACAGCGATTTGAGTATAAGAAATCGTATGATGATTAGAAATTACTAGACCGAAATGTTAGGAAGCTGCATACAGAATACATTTTACATGTTTAATTGATATTGTAAGTTTCTATATATATTGTGTGAATGAAGGAAGACTTGTTAGTTTAACCCTGTCTGGTTGTGAGGCAGAGCAAATTCGTACCTATAAGTGATGGTTCTGAATATTATAATACGCTGTTCGAGCAGCACACTAGTAGATCTTTATAGCTTATAATAATAGAACATAGCTAAGCCCTTGCCCAGAATGGCAAATGAAATCCCAATCTCCTTAGTCTTTTCGCATTTTATTTATCGCGATTGAATTGTTAACACCCCGATGAAATTTATGAATACGTTTAGTTTATACGTTAGCTATAAGTTCAGAAGATGTTTATCTCAAAATCTGCCTCTGGACAAGGTCTTGTAATAACTATTTCTTCTCTACATACTAATATCATTATCGTATATGTACTTATAAAAGTTGCAGGCATGTTAGTTATTATTTTATCGCCATTAGTACCATAAACAGCGAGGTCACGACCCGTCTTTTGAGGATTTCTCTTATTTCAAATCCCATTCCTATAATTTTCCTAAACAATTCCTAACAACGTTTTCAGCATCAAATAGGCAGTGTATTAAGGCGACGCAGTCTTCGGACTGTTATTGCATTAAGTTTATTTTTGTACTGATTTTAGTATTACATATAGGTATATCTAAATCTACTCGATATTAAAGTGTAATTTAACTAATTAACTTTTATATTTGTCGAATAGTTCCATTATAACCGATTCTTAAGTGCAATCAACAAGCCCTTATTGGAATGGTTTAAGTATTTTCAGCGTTAATTGTGAGGGTATTGTAGGTTATCCGAGCTTAGAGCAAGAGTTGTTAGGACGCTTCGTCTTTGAGGATTCACTCCCAGATTCTCCCAATTTATCCATGACAGCCTTGCAGTTAAATCTACACAGAATTCATTAATTATAAAAAATACATTAATCTAGAAATTAATTAAATATAAACGATTCATTTTTCATCAAACTTGCAACGGTAAAACATATTATTCAGTAACATACATAAAACAAGCGCTTCCATTCCATCTAATTTACTGAATCTCACATACTATTTCAAAACAAAAATAATTTGCAATGACATTGTTGGACTATTATGTAATAAGTAATGTTAAATTTAACCCGACAAAAAAACTATTAAGTATACATACACATTAATTTTTATTTTATTTATTTAAATAATCGAAAAACTTTTTATCCTTCGAAATTTTAGGGAAACTAAATTCGTAATGAAAGCAATATTATAATTGTTTTAAAACTGTATGTCTTCTTTAAATCTTGATCTATCATTCTGTAGGTAATTATTATTATAATATTTTTTACTATATATATTTATTTGAAATATTTCAAAGCTAAAGTAGGTATGTATTGTGTTTTCAAAACAGCGGCGCGACATTTGGTATCCGACGGCATTTAAACACAATGCAAACGTTCGATGAGAGATAATTAAATCAAAAAATGAAAATTAAATACCGATAACGTATGAAGCTTAATTAAAAATTTAATTATTATATCACAATAAGCTCTTACCGCTGGTGTTCCAATGAGCTCGATCGGCTTTGATTTCACCGCGCAGACACTTTTCCACGTACGTAAGTGGATCATAATCAGCATCCAATACCTATGATTGATATTATTATTGGTATTATCTTTCTTTTCCTTTATATAAAAAAGAAAAATTACAGCTTATGTATAAAGTATGAAAGTTTTCGTTTTAATCGTAACATTTATTCACATTCTTTGATTGGGCGACAAGCATGTAATCATTAATAGTTTTGTAAAACGCTTGTGTGTGATAAAATCAATACAAAACACATATAGTTTTAGTAGTCTTAAGACAATGTGGTAATTTTTATCAATTAAAGGCGTTGATATAACAAAAATGTGCTATAGTTTTTGAAATACGTACTACCAAATTCTGAGTTATATATTACCTCTCTCAGCAATGCAATGTAAGCGATGGCCAGTCGAAGTGTGTCAATCTTACTGAGTCTCTTCTCGTAAGGAAATGTCGGTACGTGGACACGCAATTCGTCGAACGCCGAGTTTATACTGCTAAAGTTAGAACACCATACACACGTTTTAGTAGTGCTGTTTACAAGCATTTATTACAATAAAACAGTATAGAATAGTGTAATCACTTAATTAATTACACAACATATTGGTTAAGTTGTTTCATACAAACTTCATAGTTTGGTTTTGGTTCTGAATCGCGTCCGTACAATCGATTTGACCACAGTTTTATTACTCGATTCCAACACGTGAAAATTGTATGTGAATTAAACTGTACTTTTTTAACTAACTTTACAATTCTGAGTTTATGATAAAAATAAAATATATGGGCTTTAATTTAGTTTGTAAAGTTTGAATCAAAATTGAATCAACATTGTTGTGAGTAGATAACTATCTACGTTGTTATAGGAAATATAAATCGATCACATGTTGTACGAAAATGATTTTAATACGAACGACAAATAAAGCTTATAAATCTGTAATAGAGACATGGTCCGTCAATAAGCCCGGAGCGACGTCACCAGCCCTCATTATGACGCGATGATTTAATATCATCATTGAATTTTGAAACCATCGCAAAATGTAAAATGGCCTTCGTCATCAGATCGAAATTATTAACCAATTTCTCGTTCATATTCTAATGCTTCATAATAATAACATCGTTTAATATTATTTACGATATAACTGAGAAAAATGTTCTTATAATAAAATACTGTGATATTTAATGCGATGCCTTTTATATGTTTTTAAAAATAATTTTCTATCTAATAATATATTAATATTTCGCAATGCAAAAAGATTTAAGCGTATAAAAATTAAATTATTATATTCTATAATAAAATATATTACATGCTGTATACAAGCTTTTACTTTAGGTTATAGACACAAGCAATGAAATGTGGTACCCATTGGGTCCGGACCTCAGCATACGGCGTCTTTCACGTACGTTGGCTGCGGCGCGTTGGACCCGGTACGGCGAACCCGCGCATTGATACTCGGGCTCCGGTGAAGGCTCCATTAGAGCATCTGAACGATAACCATATTAATAAGAGAAACCATTACTATCAAAAAAAAATAGTAGTAAATATTTTTTATACTATCATACCTGAATGCAATTGTCTTGTATGCTGATGAACGTAAGCGGCCAATGGCAGTTGTAGCCGGCTTCTCGCCGCGGCGTAAACACACGACGGCAACTCAGACGTCAAGGAAGAACCCTCATCATCAGAACCGTCACCGTAAGTAAACTTCAACCCGGAATAATCTAATCGTCGATTTTCACTGAATTCATAATATTATTTATAAATCATTAATACACGATCTATTATAACGATATTATATTATAAATTGCATTCTATTTACCATACTGGCGGAGATGTGGACGAGTCCGCCATCTGAGTTCTAGCACCTGACATTGTAACTGAAGTTTTTGATAAAGTTCCTGGCACTTAAAGCGTTTAAAGTGGACTGACAGTTGGCCGGCTAAGAGATATAATTTTATACCATTAGGGGTGGCCATTTTGCGGAAAAGTCGTTGAGGGTGTGTATTTGCACCATCCACGAAAGGCTATAAGTTTTATACCATATGTCAGTATACATAAGGTTCGATTTTGGGTGACAATAAATTTTGATTGTGTTCCCTCTGAACATTCAGCATCCCTGGTTGGGCGGAGCTATTAAATATCAGGACGGCGATTGGAGGGGCTCGGGTAGGTCGAGGAAAAGGGGGTTAAACTGTGTGTATTTTTATATCAGGACTTTGGTTTTCGGGTTGTTAAAAATACAATCAGTATTTGCTTTCATTGAAATATCTTTGAATCATAAAAAATGAATTAATTGAAGACGACGTGAGGTTAATTAACTTTGTAATTGTGAATCTGGTGGAATATTAAAAAATATATGTTTAATTTTAAGAATAATATTTTTGCCGTGTCTCTTTTAAGCTGAATCACTAATGTATATATATCTGTATTTATTTTCGTGCGTACATTCACAATTTAGAACGACCTGCTCAGGATCGATCCGTACTCGTCTCCCTGATTGGGGAGACAGACTGTTCTTGACAGCTGTTATAAAATGCAAGTTCTGCGTTTAAGAGCCTCTTGTTAGGAGTAACAATTGCGCAATTTTTCTTTAATATATAAATTTACGTCTCAGTCTAGATACATAAGACATATCATTTATCTTACATTATCTTACATAGAACATTAAAAAAAGAAATTCATTTTTAAGTAGTGTATAAAAGTAGTAGTGAATATTTGCTTCGGGAAGCATCTTAAATATATTATAAAGTGCCCAAGTTTATAAGTAGTAACTGAAAATTAAGTACCAACTTCTAACTGTCCCCAAGAAAACTCGTAGACAAATCAAACGTTGCTATTTTTGTTACACCGCTTATTACATTAATTTAATTCAATACTTTCATATAATTTTGTTAGCATTTTATGAAGTTAAGTGTATTTATATTTACGTTTCCCTGCAACAAAAACTATTTCTTAATGTACATGAAACTATCGAACTAAAATTTCAATGAAACCTCTTGAATAAATCTTAATAAACTCTTGGAATTCAGGAAAGAAATTTTAAGAAATCAGTACTTAGTGTGGTCGATTATACCCTTTATTTAATCGAAATCGCACTCAAAGACGTCTTGTATCGATATAATATAAAATAATTAAACCAATGATATATACCATAATTAATAGCAAATAATTCAAGAGCAGTTCTCATCACAAAACCATTTTAGTTATGCGTTAAATTAATACTTGTACAATAAATGTTTCTCTTCTATGAAAATCTATTGTTAGACCTCTTTGTTTCTCTTGGTTTTGAAACTTCATATTTTAGATCGGGTAGTGTCCATAAACATGAAAATTTTAAATATATTAATTATAAAACGAATCAATATTATCTAAACACTCTATCGTCTTTAAAATGATGCAGTTGACGTCTTTTAAATCAGAACACTTCAGTAGTTTAGTTTTCTGTACTTGGCTTGTTAATTAATTTGCCAAAAACAAGAGCTTGCTTGAGAAGTTGTAAGGAGTAAGTTCTATGTACTCGTAAACCGGGTACGTATGCTAAATCGACGAATTTTAAAAATACGGCTGGTGGAAATTGTTTTGTGCTCGCATAACGCATTTCCATCACTGTACAGATTTGAGTGCAGCTTTTAATTTGTATTGCTATCGTTTTAAAATAAATTATGAACGAATATTATATTTCGTTTTCCGATGAACGAGCAGGCAAAAAATTGGTTATTAGATTTCAAATTGGATTTTTGACCAATCATTTATCTAGCAGGTAGTAAGTACTCAGTGGGTAGTTATATTATAATGAAATTTTGTTATTCAGTTTCATTTATTCTGAAATTAAGGTGATTCAAGAAATGTTATGTATTATTACTTTATTTCGTGAACCGTTTAAATAGAAAAAAAGCTGAATTATTGAATGTAAATCACCAAAAACATGCCTGTTAAAAAGGGGGCCAAGTTCCAATCGGCTAATTGTTTGCCTAAAAAAGGGGTGAAATCCAATCTAATGCCAAGTTTAGATGCACTTTGAAATCGATCATAATCATCTTCATCAACAGCATGATCCACTGGTAAACATTTGCCATTCCCAAGACTCGCCACCACACCCAGTCCTCTGCCTTCCACATCCAGCCACTACCCGCCACCTTATTCACGTCAACGGTCCATCTGACCGAAATTCACTTTACCATACACCCAACTTAAAATATGGTATAGTTGTGAAAATACGTAGGTGGTTGGTTAAAAATATCTAAAATTATAATACTTCTCAATTTGAACTTGGCAGGTTTTTGTGCTGTACTTAATTAATTATATCATTAATTTATTATTTAGTTATATAATTATTTATATTTATATAATTTAAATATTATATAATTTAAATAATTAAATTGAACTTGGCAGGTTAATTTAATTATTTAAATTATATAATATTTAAATTATATAAATATAAATAATTATATAACTAAATAATAAATTAATGATATAATTAATTAAGTACAGCACAAAAACCTGCCAAGTTCAAATTGAGAAGTATTATAATTTTAGATATTTTTAACCAACCACCTACGTATTTTCACAACTATACCATATTTTAAGTTGGGTGTATGGTAAAGTGAATTTCGGTCAGATGGACCGTTGACGTGAATAAGGTGGCGGGTAGTGGCTGGATGTGGAAGGCAGAGGACTGGGTGTGGTGGCGAGTCTTGGGAATGGCAAATGTTTACCAGTGGATCATGCTGTTGATGAAGATGATTATGATCGATTTCAAAGTGCATCTAAACTTGGCATTAGATTGGATTTCACCCCTTTTTTAGGCAAACAATTAGCCGATTGGAACTTGGCCCCCTTTTTAACAGGCATGTTTTTGGTGAGATTTCAATACTTTTTTTCAAGAAATCGTACATACAATCGTACTATACAGCCGTACAATGCATAACTTACAGCATGAAACATACAGCTACCATCTGATGGCATAGGAATTACCCTATGTGGTATATCTCCGCCAACCACCGAAAGATGTACAATTTCCATCGTTGGTAAATGAATAGTAGAAAAGAAATAGAGTGAATTTGTGCTTTTAACACACACAAGTAATCAATCAATAAGCAATATCAAAATTAATCCTTTAGCACGTCAAATCAGTGATCCATTTAATCGTAATCGTAACCATATATAAGATATCAAGACATAAGTGTAGAAAGAAATAGAAAGAAATGACCATCGATTCCTTATCGACTTTCATTCATATATACTGCAGACAAAACAATATCGCGATTCAATTATACCGCTAGCGCCATCTATCGAAAGTAATTTATAACAATAGAAACCTGATTTTTTAGGTAAGCAATATTTAATTAAGTTATACAGTGTGCATTATGTATACATGACAATATTTTATATCCCTTATATATATATCACTTCTTGAGAAACGCCCCACGCTTTTTTTTCAATAATACCATTTATTGTTTATTTTAAACAATTTAAATTAAATTGATTTCCAAGGTTGTAAAGGTTAAATTAGTTTCCACGCGGTTTCTTTCATCGTTGGAGCGTGTTTTTTAGTTTTTTTTAAACTATATTTATTTTTTATTTTCATTTATCACCGATTGATAGATGTACTCATATTATTAATTATTAATATTTCATTATTATGTATTTTATTGTGCTGAGCTGAGCGCCTATATAAAGGTTTTGATTACCTGTCAGTGAGTCATTGCCAAAATTAGCTATTTTCACAGGGTCATATTTCAGGATCTACTGAAGCTTTATCTATGAAATTTGGCATACTGCTTTAGGACTTGTATATAATTACGTAGGTACAATTTTATCTCTGTACTTGCAATAGACACTGAGCTACAGGGGGTCAAAAGTGGGTCGAATTTATTAAAAATTCGATATTTAGAATTGAGGCAACTCACGCTTGACCGATTTCTTAAATTTCTTAATTTTTTGTTAATCTACATATAACACACAACCTGTGTACCAAATTTCATAATGCTAAAACAATGGGAAGTGGCCTAGAGGTTTTGATTACCTGTCAGTGAGTCAGTGCCAAAATTAGCTATTTTCACAGTGTCATATTTCAGGATCTACTGAAGCTTTATCTATGAAATTTGGCATACTGCTTTAGTACTAGTATATGATTACGTAGGTAAAATTTTATCTCTGTACTTGCAATAGGCACTGAGCTACAGGGGGGTCAAAAGTGGGTCGAAACGGTTCGTGTAAATATAGTGCACGGCATGCGCCGGCCTGTGGAACTTGGCCGGCGCACTACCGTGCGCTTAGATAGACACATCCGTGAGTGAAAGCAAGAGCTTGAGGGTTATTACATATATCAATTTCAGCAAAGAAAAATGCAAATACATATGTACCTATATTTGAAATATAATTTATAGTATTGTTTTCTAATAAATAATTTTACAACACAAAATAAAACCAATTTAGTTTTACACGATTTATAAAATTAAAACTTAAACGACTATAATGTTATCTTTTATTTTTAATTCGAAACAATAAAACTTTGTGTTAGACAAAATCGTAGTTACATTGCAATAACAAAGTTACAAAACAAAATATGGGTTTTGCTATTTTCCTTTTAGTATTGTGGCGAGCGGTGAGCGGTGGCGAGTGTAATGAGTGTAAGTTAGACATAAAAAATATATACTTTGTGGATATTAAACGTTTATGAGATGCTCAAAGGTATATTTGAGAAATAATCATAAATAGTTGAGTAGAAAAGGAATTATCATTGTAAATACAACTTCTTAAAGAATCGCATAAGAATAGTTTAAAAGAAAAATTTACAACTTACTGCTCCTGTATATGAATTTCTATAACTATATCTCATTATAAAATTGTATGAAATATTAATACAAATAGAGGGAGTTTCCCAGTTAGGCGATTTTATACGAAACGCTGAAATAGACATCACGGAATAATAAGTTATACTTACGAGTAAGTGTTTTATTCTTAAATTATAGTTACAAAACATTCCTAATTACAAATGACATAAGTATAACATTAACACATTTAACTAATTAACAAATTACTACTAGGCATTGAACTTACAAAATTTTAACAAATAAAATAATCTTCCCTCATTTATATAACAATAAATTTTATCACGAGAATAAATCACACGTTTAAAATAATTTGTACTCATATAATTACCGCAGACTAATAAGCTATTACGCCACACTATCAAAGTATAATAAACGTTTTAATTAATCAATCATCGCAACAGCCTCACGCAGACATTATAACTGCAATTTCAGGAGATATTGCATATAACGATTGATATCATGTACACGTCTCTATCATATGTGTTACACAAGTGAGATGTATTGAATGCTATTGTAACTGGAAATGTCACTATAGCAATAAATAACTGCCGGTTTACTGAAAACAAAAACAAAAAAAAAACAAAACTATTCCCTACCATTCCGAATCTCTGTTCAAAAAGAATGACAGGTAGACAACAAACCACAGTTTGACATATTGTTGTTTTTTTAAATAAAATCGTGTACAATTTTCATTAAATTTTCATAAGCGGTAATATTTACGATATATTTATTAAATATAATCAAAATCATTGAATGCATTACAAAGTTCTGAAATGTATGTATAGAGAAATATACAATCATCTGAAAAAATTTCAACTGAACTATGACTCTTTAAGAAACTTTAATAAATATATACATATATGGAAATGAAAAGCTTCCCATGCCAGTGAATCTACATCGTAAATTAACCACCCTATAAGTACAAACAAGTAATTTCATCCAAGTCTATAATTTGGCGCTAATTCTGGTTCGGAAGTCTCGGCCCCGTCGACCCTGTAATTGATTTGTCGCGGAGGGGAAGCTAGCTAGCGGCCGGCACGCGCTACACACGCGCGCCCCGCCCTTACAGTGCGACTGTCACATCTATACAACCGAGCCTCGAGTTCTTAACCGGCTTGTTAGAAATCATTTGAGATAAACATTAACAATATGTGAGTATTATTTTAAGTGTATCCGTGGTTTGAAGTTAGCGGTTACGTTTGTTTTTGTATTGTTTTCATACGCAGTTGTCGATGTTTGATCATGAATAAGTTAATAGTTGGGAATGTTTTCATTTTTCAGTGTTTGTAGAATGTAGATAAAATATATTTTTCAAACAACTTAAAAGATAAGATACTTACTGTTTCGTAAGAAAATGTCTAGTTAAATCGAAATAAAATAAAGAAATTAATTATTATTTATGAAATTCAGTAATATTTCCTGAAAATAGTATTAAACTTATAAAAAATTTAAAAGCGGTATAATCAAACACCGCCATTCACTTTATTGTTTTTATTTTAAATATTTTGTGAAGCATATCTTTTGAATAACTGTTTTTTGTTCGAGAATATTAATAATATAAAAAATTGTAAAGAATTCCAACATTGTTAACGTCACGGCTATCTTGATGTTGTTATAAAATAATGCTTTTAATATTTCTTCAGTAAATATTTTTCGATATTTGTATTGTTTTACGAAATAAAAACTCTTTAGTTAACAATAAATTTTAATTTCTGTCGCTGAAAACGTTTTAATTCACAACGAAACAATTTGTATAATAATAAAACCAAAAACAGAAGTACTTTTTTGCCAACAATATAACCTTCCATTGAAATCTGTACAGAACAGATATGAAAACGCTTTTCCATTTGCGAGATCAAAGGTAGGCATTTTTGTTTTATTTTTATTTCAGTTCATAATTATGAATGTTACAATTAAAATGATATACCGATGCTTTTGTTTTAATTTATTTTTCAACAACTGCCTGCTATTAGTTTTATAGAAAGTGCTTATTGTTCATTTTTATTATCGCAAATAAAAAAAGATTATAATTTGCTTCCAGAATTTTCTTTGTTTTAAATCCATCTCGATATAATTAAATTCCATGTTTGATAATTAACTTTTCATTTATTAAGTTTAATTTGATGACAGTCACTGTATTTGATTTGAGTCAGCTAAGTCAAGGTATTTCTCATTAAACCTATTTCGTCTGTAAAAATAGCTCTTAGACGATAAAAAAGCGACCTAAACTCCATAGAACGGTACGAAATAAAAAACTAAAATAATTCTCATGACTATTTATTTTAATCCAAAAAAATCAAAGCTTTAAACCGCGAGCGTGGATATCGGCTTCAGTTAATTTATTTATTTGGCTGCATACGTTGGGATTATCCAGCGAGTGGTTGCACGTGGTATTGTATTCCTTGTGAAGCTGGGGTTAGTATGGGTCACGTGGACGCCGGCCGTCGGCCACGCGTTATAACGCGCCGACGGCAAGCGCATTTACTGGCAGCACTTAATTTATCCATGTAGTTATTATGCCATGTGCGTTTTATTTAGTACATTTTCATGTTTTGATGTTTATAATTTTATGTTTTCACGGTACGATTTCAATCAGTATCGATCTTGTTTCAAATAGTTAGTTAGTAATGAAATTTTGCTGCGATAGTACTTGATGATTTGAGATAGTTTAGTACATTTTAGTTTGTATCTTGTTTATTATTTTCGTATCGTTTGTAAATCTAGACCTGGCTGGATGCTCGGATCATACAATACGCGGTTGTATGCTTTTATAAACGTAAACATCATTGTCAATAGGCCGGAAACCAAATAGGTCTCTTTATTCAAATACCCCCAACCCGTATTTGATTGTCTGTTTGTTGTATTTAAGCATTTATTATATGCAATTATTAACAAGTCGTCTGCAGATTCGTCCGCGTTGGTTTTTGAATGTGCTCCCCAAACTTTATTCTGTTTTATATCGATAGCCCCTATGTATAAGGGCATATGTAGCAATTTAGCCATTTTTACTTAAAATACTTCATAATAATGTATTATACAACATCTATTTAAAAAAATGTGTACCAAAACTGTGTTGGTACACCTGATATCTATTATAAATATTATAATAGTCCTAATATGTATTGTGCATTACAATATAAGTCAAATGTATAATTTAAATGAGTTATGTTATACTAAATTTATTGTTTTATAACAAATTTATGTGTAAATTTATTAAATATATCTAATAAGTACGCAACCAATATATAAATCCACAAAACATAAAGATCATACTAGTCTTCCAATTAGTTGGAATTAAAAAAATATATATTTTAACAAAATATTCAAGTAATTATCAAAATAACTTTACAAAGTACGAAACTAATCGCTAATTTTTATATTAAGTCAAAATAATTATTTGTAGACATCTATTCAATTGAAATCAAAAATTGCATGTATGACCCTAAAAACTTTGGGAAGCGATTGTAATTCTTTAACAAAGCGTAACAGGGGTTAACCGCTGTCACACTCATCCTACAGAACCCCTCCACTCTGTGGGAATAATACACAAATTATCTAAACTAATTGTCTAATGTGTTCACGCCATTTAACTAAACAGATTGAATTTGAGTGCATTTTCGAGTACACTGTGAAATTGTAACGCGGGCAACGCAAACAAATATGTACTTTGATATGAGCGCTTTTGTTTTATGCTTTTGACTGACACGGATTTTGTTTTGTTTTTTTTTATCTTTAAGTTACGTTGCCAGTAATTATTATATCTTTTAAGTTTAGTTTAATAATAAGATGTACTTTAGATTTTCTTTTTATTCATTACTTATTAAACTGAAGTGAAGGAATGTATGATTTTGAATAGATAAAAAAGAATATAATTTTATCTGTTTTATGCTACATTTATTGAATCATCATAATGGAACAATTGTTTAAAATAAATTATAATAATAACATAACATTCTATAAAACATAATAATTCTAAGTTTCTTTGATCTGTTTGTCGGGTAGTCTTATTTCTTCAACGGCCAATTCTTCTGTGCTCGATTTGTATTCGACGTATTTATATCTAAATGCCATGGATGTAAATATAAACATGTCCAACATCATGAGTCCAGCGAACAAGAAGAATTCCTTCCACTGAAACACAATCATAGTTAGGTCAGTACATTCGTGAATAAATTAACCAATTTTAAACATTGCTTTAAAGTACACTAACCTGAGCGTCTAAAAATTTCCCCTCTACTATGAGAACTACAATAAGGTTGCCGAAAGCAACAGTAAGTAGCCACACGGAGGTCAAAACGGATTTCATGGTAGCGGGTGCCTGAGTGAAAGAGAACTCCAGCCCCGTCACTGAGAACATCACTTCACCCATAGTCATAACCACGTATTGCGGCACCAGCCACAAGATGTGAACAGAGTTGGGTGGAGTTATCATTATAGGGTTTATCAGCTGTAACAAATGTAACAATAATTCGATTATATTATTTTATATACAAGATATACGTCATAAAGTTTCGTTTTGTTGACTTATTTGTAAAACAAAGAGGAGGTTGGGGTAAATAAGGCATCATACTTACATAAGAGCCGTTATTAGTTTCATACAAGTTAAAAGTATAAACAGCACCCGCTTTCAATGAATATCCTGTCAAAACTTCTACATCACCCACCAAAATATTATAAGTCCCTTTAGACAAATGTATTTGAGACATATCTGAGCTGTTCAGCGCCATTTTAGTCTTATTTCCCTTAGTGCTTTCAATATTTATGGATACAGGTGATATAACGTTGGATAAAAACCTGAAAATTCAAGAAAATATTTCATTACAAACCGATAAGGCTCTTATCCGACGAAATGTAAACATAATTTTGAGACTGTATTGACACATTTCTACATAGACGTAGAAATGAATTTGCAATATACAGTTTCTGTCTTATTATATTTTATTATACAAATATATTCTTATTCCGTAAAGGTCAAAATAAAACAAGGCACGGTGATGGGTATACGAGAAATGACGGTGTTCGATGGACGACATTACTACGCGTTTTACGGGGTGCCGTACGCGAAGGCTCCGGTCGGAAAATTGAGATTCAAGGATCCAAAACCTGTAAAAGCATGGAAGAAGACATTTGATGCAACAACCGAGTATCACGGAGCATGCGCTCAAAGTCACATCGTACACAAACATGGAGAGTATGGATTTGAGAACTGTTTACACTTAAATATCTATACGCCAAATCTACCGAAGACTGAATCACGAAAATGTGCTGTGATCGTATGGATTCACGGCTACTCATTCTCATCCAGCTTCAGTCATATACATGGAGCTGATTTTTTAATCGATAATGATATAGTTGTTGTCACTTTATCACACAGAATAGGAGCATTTGGTTTCCTCAAACTTAATGAAACAGATGGTGATGCTAATATGGGACTCAAAGATATTGTCATGGGTTTAAAATGGATAAGTAGAAATATAAGAAAATTTGGCGGTGATCATAATAATATAACATTGGCCGGCAGTGGATCTGCTAGTACTTTTATATCTTTACTATTAGCCACAAAATATCGCAAACTATTCTCCAAATTGATTCTTCAGAGCGGTTCAATATTTTCACCATCAATATTTCAAGGCGATTATAGAACTGAAAGGATTAAGTTAGAAAAACAAATGAAAATAGCTGGATATAAAGATATAAAGTTTGCTCCAACCGATGCTATATTGAAAGCATCTCAAAAAATTTATAGCAGCAAGGATTTAATGAATTTTCAAAGGCCAGTTGTACCTTTTTCACCGATAATCGAAACAAAATCTAACACGTCTTTATTAATAAGCGATGTGAACGAAATCGTTAAAAATATGGATAAAAATATCCCGATACTACTCGGATTCACAAGCCAAGAAAGTATATCCGAAGCTATACCATTCATTCACAATCCACAATATCTTTATATGTTTAAATCATTCTTCAAGTTCATGGTACCGTTCTCCAATCAATGTCAATACAACTACACTACGAAGATATATAAAATAATTGGGAACAAAATAAAAAATTGGTATTTTAAAAATGGCATTACAGAAAATTCATTAAAAGAATTTTTAAAATATCTGTCCGATTTATATAAATATCCTGCATATAAATTTATAAAATCCCTATTGAAAAACGATGAGAGAAAATTGTATGTTTATAAATTTAATTATTTGGGAAAATTTAATGTCGCTAAAGCCACTTCAGTCGCCAGCAGCAATACCAAAATTAATGGCGCTTCACATGGAGACGAAATATGTTACATATTCAAATGTGATCCGAGTTGGGATTCGTATGTGAAATTGAAAAAAATTGACGATGATAGAGACAAAATATTTATTAAACAAATATCTAAATTATGGGCGAATTTTGCAAAAAATGGTAACCCTACACCAAGAAACTCTTTTGGGAATGTAACTTGGCTTCCAATGACAAAAAATGAAGATAATGTACTGTTATTAGATAAGCAAAGTAAATTAATAAATTCGAAATCAGAGCAGAAGATGTTTAAGTTTTGGAGTGAAATCTATGACAAATACTATACAAACGAAAAGTGCGAAAAGAGAAAATCAATAGCGGAATCTACAAGAAAGCTTGGAGATGAATTGTAGAATGCAAAACCTTTACTAATACAGCTATACTAATAACCCTTGTAAAGTAAAAAATTGTTTATTAAAAATATTTCAATTTTCTATAGTTTTGGTCATTCCATACCTTAAATTAACTCCGTCAATAGCCTTCTCATTATTATCTTCAAAACCTCTCAAAGATTCGTTGCGTAAAAAGAAGGAGTTTGCAACTTTTTCTTTCAAATCAAATTTTCCGTTAAATTCTGAATTTTCGCAGTCACTGTTTCTCTCTCCTTGCAAAGAATACGGCAGTTCAACAAAATCATGTGCACTTATGTCCAGTTTTTCATAATATTCCAAAGGTCCAATCATAAAGCTCTCAGTTTTATTGTCAAGAGTGAAATTCAATGTGTAATTACAATTTTGTCCATTGTATAATCTCAATTGCGCCAAACCTTCCGACACAGGCGTACCGTAAGTTGGCTTAAATGAAAATTATTTGATTATAATATCATAAAGATTACATAGTATTTAAATAGTTTTAATGTTATAACTCACCAGCAATTGTAGTTCAACAATTCCAGATATGACGAACGCAAACGCTGCCAAAATTCCACCCCAGATCATTTTATGCAAGGGTTTCTTAATGAGCTTGCACCAAGTCAGGAAAGGATATATTGCCTGATGAATGTTTAAAGAAATGTATAAAAAATATAACATATTTATTGAATAACGTGAGAATATATATGATATATATATTATTAAGAATAATTTAAATCGTTTGCCTACCACTTCAAAGAGCGGGATGAAGACCAATATAAGCAGTGGATTCAAAACTTGCATTTGATCTGCTTTTAGTGTCCAACTTCCAATATCCTGTTCCATTCTGTCAGCTTGGAATGTCCATCTTGATCCCTAGAGATGATACAATGAATTAACATTTAGAGGTCAAGATACAAAATTTTTGGTTTTCATTTACCTTAATAACTAAACTACCATAATTCCGTCTTAAACTTTCTAAACAATTTGTTACATACTGTGAGTATTGAAGACAAATTATTTTATATGAATATTCCAAAGTAATTTTATGTAAGCAGCCTACAAATGTGTTTTATTTTAAAAATATTTTTTTGTATAAACTTCTGTTTACATATAGCGTTACTCCGACGTTCTTTCATTACAAAAAGCAATTTCACCGACCAATATTTTGAATGGGTGTCAAATGCAAGCGAAACCGATTACCTACTCGATAAGAAAACATTTTATATAAAAATGAAAACTATTTTTAACTTACATTACAACTACAGAATAGATTTTTCTTTACGGATAAAATTTCTGAGAATAGAACATTTTTATAGCGATTTTAACACTGAATGGAATAGGTAACAATAGTTTTATTAATAACATGTATATATATGTTTATTCCTCGTTCAAAGACACAGTATATAACAGTATATATTTACCTGCTGGTCGAATAAAGCCCAGAATACAGGTAGCGGTATGAATAGCACCAAAACCCTCAACAAAGCCTTTATATCTTCTATGAGGTTGGTGTCAAATTTGTCATCCGCACGATCCAGCCAATGCTCCCGTTTGTCTTTGCTCTTACACGACTTCACTATAGCGTGCTATGCAGAAATAATATTACTATAATATATCAAATTTAATTTAGATTATAGTATAGAATGATTAAAATGGGTCCACAATTTTAGCACTCAAACGAAATTGTTAATATAAAAATAAATGGTTCAAGAAATATGACTATTTATTGGATATTAAGTAAATCGGGTAAATTTAATCATAAACTGGCTGAAGTTTAAGAAATAAAAAAAATATTAACAGTCCGTTCTCTATTTGCAAAGTTGTTTATATTTTTAAAAGTTTACGCTTTCTTAACTTGCTTCTCTTGTTAAGTATCTTTTTAATTATGTAGTCTTATTATTGCATTTGCATAAGAAATATCCCAATATCAATATAAAATACTTATTATACTTTAATTTAAGTAACAAATAGGGGAAACAATTATTGAAACATATCTTTAGAAAAAAGTTGTGCTCATTTAAGATGAAATAAAACCGAATTGCGGCCAATCATTGTGTTCCCTATACCGAAAATTGAAAAAGATATCAAATAATAAATTGTTCTATTTTTGAAAGTTCAAAGACCAATTCTGTTTTATTAGAAAAAAGATATTGTATTTAATGAACTGACCTTACAAAAAGTCTACATTCAAAATATTACTTGGTTTAATTGAAAATATAAAATAGCTAGCTGATTTGAATATTTTTTTATATGCAGACCATTTTTAAAAAGAAATTCGTACTTATTATAAATTTTATTATTTTTTTATTATTAATAAGTATATTATTTAATATTTTTTTATTTTCCGTAACAAAACGGCAGTAGCAAAAACTATATGGTTTTTTTAAAATTACTGTACATACTTCTTCAAGGTATACATACCCCGATGCATTGAGATACTTTTGCAAGTACATTTCCCGTGGGTGTTTTCGTAACATACAGCCTTTTCCCAGCCACAAAGAAAACTAAAAAAAAAGAAGGATTATTTACATTTAATATAACAAATTAGTATTTTCTACAAAATTTCCCCAATAAATCTTTTTATAGCAAAAACAAAAGATAATTGTTTTGTTATAGATTATAAAGCCTTTTGAAATTAACCGATTAAGTGGCTTAAGAAGGTTGAGTTCTGTTTTATTGTTGAGAATAGTGTCAATGCAAGATATTACATTCTCTAGTACTTTCATAGATAATTCATAGATAAACGAATTATCTCCTATAAAAACTACACTCTTGAATATAGAACGAAGTATATACTTTTATAACAATGCTTTTGTATGATATAACATAAATTAAATGGGCATTAAAATACTAATATAATTAAAGGTTTGCCTAATTCTTAATTTTCTCCAAATATAGCAGATAGTTATGTTAAAATATAAAAAAATTTCGAAATACATATACATATGTATATCTGGGATACGTCCGATCGTAAGCAAAGCAAACAATTAAGTACATCATTTCTTGTCTATTTAATTTAAAGAAAACTTTATAAGTAAAGAAAAACATCTAAAATCTAATTGAGAGACTTATTAATTTCGTATACCTAAACAAAGGAATGCAACCATCACTTACTTATGGACACGATCATGAGCACTCCGGGCACACCGAAAGCCAAAGAATAACAATCATTTTCACCAAAACAATGAACATCTGCTCTCAAAATGGGCGTCAGGAAAGTCGATATCAAACTTCCAGCGTTGATGGCGAAATAGAAAAGGGAGAAAAAATAACCCAAGTAACGCTCTTGCTCCGGCAATTTGAACTGATCGCCTCCAAACGCAGACACACAGGGCTTTATACCGCCGGTGCCAAAGGCTATCAGGAACAGTGCTATGATTGTGAACTCTCTGAAACATGTCATCGTTTAGATATAGAATATTCGAGCTTTCTATTAAGGCTATGCAGAAATATTACAGCATTTGATAGTTTTATTTCAACTTACAATTGCGGCAATTTGACAGGTGGCATCGCTGCCACGGATATGAGAACACTTCCAGTCGCGTATACCAAGGACAGGTAGAAAATAGTCCTGGAAATAAAACGATTTGAATTACGTCATTTGTCAATAATGTTGCATCCACAAATGTTAATATCTAATGGAATTCCATTGACCAATATTACGTGATCCTTATGCTAACTAGTAACCTAGATAAAAGTTGTTTAACCAGTTGCAACTTATTTATGTGTTGTTCAGAAGTGATCGGTTTTGGTGAGGATTAAAAATGTTATCCATATACCACACATATACAGAACAATTCCATACACATGTATACAGGGTGACTGGTGAATTACTATCAATATTTAAGGAGAATACTCGGTACATGATTCTCATTCGAATTATGTAAAAAAAATAGGTACTTAATATTTAACCAAATTTCCGTATAAATAAATAAAGTGTGGACACGTTCCAAGTGTTCCAAGTGTGGACGCGTGCGGCGGCGTGCTGATACAACACCACGCCGCAACACGCGTGTGTGTGTGTGTGTATACCAAATCTGTAGGGTGTTCACACGATGCGTAATTAATAACATAACTTTTGGTTAACTTTACTTAAAAGTTTATTAATATTTATGTTATATTAATTTTTATTTTGTTATATATGATCGTCAAATATCACGTCCTTCAGTATCGATAGTAATTCACCAGTCACCCTGTATAATATGACTATTCTAGATATGCGTATATACATAATGACAATCACTGGTTATACTTGATGTTTATTTTGAAGGAGTAAATGTTTTATGTATTGTATAATTACCTAAATCTTCCCAGCCATCCGTCGGCTATCATGGCACCCAATAAGGGAAAGAAATAAGCGAACATTGTGAAAACATGATAAATAACAGTAGCGTTGTCATCACCATAGCCCAGCTTGTCACGGAGGTACAGCGACAGAATGGCTAGAAAAAAAAATTACTGATAACACAAATATTTCTCTTAAATGAAACTAATATTTTTCGGATATACTATTTTTTTACATCTCGTCTGTCCTTGACCACGGTTGCTGTAAAGTAACCGAAACGTAGGGAGTATGCAGTTTTTGATAAAAATAAAAATCGCGTAGTAAGTACGTACATCCGAAAAATATTAGTTTCATTTAAATGAATACATGCGAAAATCTTAGATCTCATTAAATATTGCTGTTGTACACATATATTATGATCAACAAGAAGATTAAATAGTCATCCATACATAACAATAACAACGAAATTTTATTACAATACATACTAATTAGAATAATTTTATACAAATTTTAGAATAGAACATACATCAATATTGATTTTCGTCTTAATAGTAATATTCCATGTCAATCAAAATATATTATAACCTCATTCAGCGATGTGATTAAAGAAACAATAGACTATTCTACTTGAAAAACGTTTATTACAGTTTTCTAATAACATATTGATGTACGTTATTATTCCACATTAGAAAATGTTTTCACATATTCCCATAAAACACGTGCAAAAGAAAACGAATACAATCGTTTTGCTATCGTTATGGGCATTGTATTAAAACATTGAGTAAATAAAAGTCAGATATAATCTATTCTTATAATATTATTGTTTTTAATTCAACAAATCGGTTTATATATTAAATATACATTAACTATGCGACGATTCGTTGTCTTGCTCTTCTATACTAGAGAATTATTTTTGTAAACTCTTTGGGGAAAACCTAAAATAAAATACAAACTAGTTATTTAATTTTAGTGATGTTAACATTGTAGTTTTATTAATTCGATTATTTTATATCAGGTAACGGATGCAATGCTCCATTAAATCCATTTCATTTGACAGGCGTTGAATATAAATTATGTCGATATCGATCTTTGGTACGTCACTATAACGTTACTTAGTACAGTTTTACTCGAACGTCCTTATATGAAGTGAGATATGATTGACGTGTGTCGATTTATATACATATACATACTTAGTTATATTTATGTAACGAAACTAAGAATATATATGTATATAGTTAAATATCACCTCAAAAATTACTCGAAAATACTTTTACATGCACCTACATTACTTGTAAAATAATGTAAATGGGATTTCTGTGAGTGACGGTAAGCAAGTTGTACATTACTGTACCTATTATTATTTTAAACAATATGACATTATAATAATAAACAAAAGAAATATCAATGAACAGAATTAATCTTTCAAATAACATGTTCGTGATTGAAATAAAATAAGAATAAAACAACAGAAATGTTGTTTGTAGTTTGAATTTACGTAAATTATTTAAAACTTAAAGGTATTATTATTATAAGAGTTTAGAAGTTTAATTTCAACCGACTAGAGAATGTTCAAATTATTCATATAAAGTAACAAGTTTAGTAACTAGTATTTAAATTTAAATATTTTGTATGACTATGTTACTAATTAAATAACCGAATTTCTCATGGCAAACTCGAAAACCTACAGAAATAACGTTTATCATTCACAAATCATGTTATTGATAATACGTAACTACATGGTATATGAATAAAGTCAGTTTAGTTTGTCTGCAACCTCTTACTAATCAGTAAAACTAAGTATTACTTATAAATTAAATGTTTATCACTCGAAGACAACATTTTATTCTTGTCAAGGATTTGTACAAGATTAGTTCTTAAACAATTTTGCTTTATACAAAAAACAAACAATAAATATTTGTTTCCAAAACAGATAATCGCTATACTCAAGTGGGTGTGAATGATTTTTCGTTATAAATAAATATCTTACTTCGCATTCCATAATATGAAAATCTCTCGCAGAACTCATTTGTAACGATGAACCCCACCGCCTTCGGGTATGGTAATTTCTGCAAAAAAAAGATAACATATCAAACCATGACCGACTTCTTCCGAATGCTCGAATGTCGCGCGTCATATGAAACTATAGCTAAGTATAAATAAATGTAACTAAAACTCAAGTAACTTTCACTTATCTCATGCAATCAGAATATTATGTAAGTCTCATCATAAGAATACGATTTTTTTTTTTGCCATAATATGATTTAATCTATGCCAGTCATGTTGGTAATAAAGTTCATTTCGACCTCAATTATTGAGTTATATATAGGCCGGTCGAGTTCCAAATACTCAAATTAATGAACGAAATGGTGGATCCGGACCAAACTGGATCCAGTGATTTGAGCCTTTAAGAATTAACGACTGGTTGGCAGAAATAGTAGATTGTTGTGATTTATTTTTATAATTAAATATATGACATATTAATGGTGAATAAATCGTATTGGCTAATTACAAAGCTTGTTATTGAAACAATTAATATAATAATAAATTTCTATTGACTCTGTTAATCATCCATGCGCATCTTATATGTGGGACGTGAACTGACTGTGACTGCAGTCATCCCACATTCTCAATAATATAAAATAAAAATTATATCTAAGACAACAGTACGTCCAAGGCCGAATGTTTCTAACTACTGTAACGATTTAAGTAGTACGAATGACACTACTGAAAAGTATCGGCAGACTAACACAACGCTAGCTGAAGTGCCTCATAGTTGATTGGGGTAAAGTGCCACATAGAATGTATACAAAAAAATAAATGAAATGATTCGGAAATAAAATTATAACTAATGGTTTATTTTCGTAAAGAATTTTTATATCGATAAAAGTTATCTCTTTATATTGTTTACTTAAATAAGTAAAATTAGACAAACATGGAATATTCATCAGAAGAGGTTTCGCTATTAATCGTGAACTCGACACTCCGTGATGTCCTAAATATGCAGTTTTATAGGAGTAAAGATATGCGCATACATACATAAATATGAACAGTAATAAAAAATCTAATCTAATCAAACTTCATTTTTTTACATTTTATGTAAAACGTCAATATAATTAGCGAATAAGAAATCTTTAAAAAATGGAAAGTTGTTATTTTAATCTGTGGCACAGATAAAATAATGATTACCTTTATTAATTATTATAAAATTATTATGGTAGCCAATTAATTACACATTTTATTAAAATTATAGAAATTGTAGGTATGGTTATAAATTTAATATATTATTTGATCACAAACCTTGAAAATAATAATATTTTTTCTTTAACAATCGAAACATAATTTAAAGGTTTTCGTTGTCTCAAGATGGCGGTTTATCATTTCATAGCAACATATCACAATATCAATTGGAATGACAAGTTTAAAAACGATAAGTCAATCCATCAGAAATGACAGATTTGTCTTTTAAAACTATGCAACAATTTGTCTGAGAATTCGTATTTTTTAGTTGCATCATTTGGTAGTTTATTTGTTTTGGAACATGAAAATTCTTTTATTCTTATTCTTTATGTGGTTTCAAAATAATTAATTTATTGTAATGGTACAATGTATATTTTTTTATTACACTCTCTGACGGTCGTTCTCTATTTGTCCGGGAACTATTATTTCCGGAGCTAGTCAACTGACTATGTATATGAGTTTTACTTTGTATATAAAACGAAGATAAGAAAACAAAGTCATAACCAGATCGTTTGTTTTATCTTTATGACATTTTTAATAAGTATCTAGAATTTAACGCATATGGATTTTTAAATTTTTTGCTTTATCATTACACCTAAATGTTGTCGAAGAAACTGCTCCAACGTTCATCTTGTAAAAAACTTTTAATTGCTCCGAAGAAAAAACAAAAAGAAAAATATAAAAGCATATACAACTTTATCGAAATTTATTTCCTTCGTATTGAATTTAACAAAAAACTTTGTAATTTCATTATAACAGAAAAACTTAGATCTTGATACATGTTTACCAATGTAAATAAATAAATTTCAAGACGTCTGTAGCTGTGTTCAAATGGGAATATAAGTAATTTGTAAGTTTACAAAGTACTGTCAGGCAGTATTAAAAACATGTAACCGACGTATTATTTTGTACATAGAGTCTAAATAAATAAGAAGCGTCAACGACACTTATGGCAATGAGTGCAATTTAAAAAAAAAATTAAAACTATAATTATATCATAAATTAACAATGAATTGTAAAAGTTATTTAATCATTCAGAAGTAAGTTACAACAAACGAGCATTGTTTTGTTGCAAAATAAAAATAAAGTATAACGTTCCACACTAAAACGCAAGAACTTGAAAAACATATGAACAATACAAAATTTTACTTGACATATTGTGACGTATGTGAGTGTTGCAATTATAAAGAACTTGTAATATTGTAACTATATGAAAGCTGATTATCTATAAGATAACTTATAATAAAATCAAAAAATATAAATAGAAAAATCCCAGGCTCACATTTGATACGGTATTGAAATATGAAGCAATTTTTGTGAATTCGTTCTCTATGACCCACATACGAGATTGCGAAAGAATTCCTTAAATGGTTTTTATTAAACACGTTGCATGACAATATCGATGAAACTTATCCTTTTTGACCAAACATAAACATTACTAACTGTGTTATCGGTATGTTGCAATTACTATTGATTTTGAAATTGAGATAGTGTTACCGCTTAGACAAACATTAAACATTAATAGGTAGTTACACCTATTAACGTGATTGTGGTTTAACAGACATTTAAAGCTTATTACAAATATTTGATTAGTATAGGAACTTGTCGATGTAGTTAGTTAAAATGAATATAATATTATTATTAGTTAATATTAGTATGTTATTTTTAGTGCAATAATAATATATAAAATGTCTTCTTTTTCTGTAGTTACTCGTAGTAGCGTTTCCTTATAGATTTCTCCGATTCCGTATAAAATACGATATTGTATAAACGCATTATCAATTACGAGATTGAAATAGCAACGTTCAATCAATGACAATTCTAAAAATTAAGCAATACTACAGGAATATTTGATTTATCAAAGATAAGTTATTACAAAAACAAATATTGCATTTGCCTAAACTCTTTGTATATTTCTTTATCAGTTGAATGAAAACTTACTTTAAGACGTAATAAGCGGTAAACTCGGTCGTTGATTGATAAATTCATAATGATGCATCACGACAAATTAAAAGATTACTTTTAATAAAGCAACTCCAACATTCGATACATGCTGCCCGCTTCAATGAAATCATTTAATCGTCTTTGTGTATAACGTACTATGTTGGCACGATCTTTAACTTTGTGGATATACTTTCGAGAAGAGAAAGTCTACAATAGGTGGGACAATTTAAATTGCTTAATATCTAGCTTTTACCCGCATTGTCTGGCAGGAATTTGGACCTACAATGTTTGTAATGCAAATTCTATGAAGTCCTGTCATCGTATTATTCCTTTTCTAGTGAATTATATTATTTATTATAACCTTTCTCTAGCTTTTCATCATGCAGATATATGTAATAGGTTTTTACTTTGATGATATTCCGATTCGCTTCGTATGCGCTGCTGTTAAGAGGAAAATTGTCAAATAGGTTACCAAAGTTGTATAGTTGTGCATTGTCTCGGACGAGTAGGTATGTCAAGGCAAACTGTTAGCACAAATGAAATTCTGTGAAGGTGATCATAGTAGTTTCGCTTTAGGTATTTTTGTTTATAAAAAATATATATTCATATTATATCTAAATGAAAATTTAAATATAATTTTTGTTTTAAATGCTTTGAAAGAAAAAACTGATTCTCATACAAATCCAATGAGTCTTCTTCATCGGTAGATTTTTCTAATATTACTTTATAATAGTCATTAATATAATAAGTGTCGGTTAATCCCTCTTTTTGTTTAATTTACTAAAGCGTCTATGAGTGTTTGTTTATGTAAAATTGTACTTTGATAACGTTTTGATTTGAAACATCACACAAAACAAATAACTACATTAAGAGTATCTTATTTAATATACAATAAAAAATATATATTAAACTGCTTTTATTACGCAATTTGTATACTACAATATTTTTAAACGAATCTTGTGTATAGATAGATTGTAATCATTGAACCCTCTTGAGATATAATCTATTTTATCTTAAGAGATTTGTAACAGGTACTTTCGACCTCGGTTTCAAGAAACTGTTTTGTGATATGAAATATGTCCTAGATATAACATATAGAATAAAAATTATTTTATCTCACAAGTGCGTCTGTTACTCTATATGTATCATACTTCTCAGTCCTTAGTATCAGATAAAGATATATCACCTATACTATAGATAAGCTTAAACATACGTACATGTGTTAGCTATAATAAACTTAGCCTCTTGCCACTTGATCTCCGTTATTACGACATAAATTTATATATGATAATACCTATATATATATATATATATATATATATATATATATATATATATATATATATACATAAATGATATTACTTTCGTTCTGTATCTCTCCGCTTATTATACGTTTTCATCGTCAATAAGGAGTAAAGACAGTTACTCATCTATAAATCTTCGCGAATTAAAGGAATTACTTATTATTGAATGAGTAAAAGACATCGCTTAGTAGTATTACAATGTAAACTTAGAATAAACATACTGTTTGTAACTGAATTGCTTTCAGAAATTAAAATATGTATCTTTTAATTTATTCTTTATACGATATCTTTATATATAATTCTACTGTACTTGTGTGTCACTAAACTTCTAACCCCTAAACCGTTTTGAATGATTTTTTATATGACTTTGGATGATCCCAAGATGTATTAGATACACGTCTTAGCAAAACAGATGGCGCTGTAATCAGTATGTAGGCTATTTAAAACAAAAAGGCTTCAACGATAGGTGAAGTTTTAAGACACTTTTTAAACTACTCTCTGAACGCAATTCCTATCTTTAGACGGATGGAGTAGGGGGCCAAAACTAGTATTGTTATAAATTATTTAAAAATGGTAAATATTTATAG